CTTTCGTCTTTTTTTTTGCTGTACTCACTCTATTTTAGGCAATCTTTTAATTTGTACTACTCATTTTTGCTTTATTCCAATTTGGTTACCTTTTTATCATTTACCATTTTAGCCCCATAATAAGTATGGATTACATTATTTCATATTGTCTTTAATTTTACTATATATATTCACCGTTTGTCTTACTTAGCAAAGCTTGGTTTAGTAGTAAGGTTTGCATCTCCCAACCTGGAGGTTGTGAAATCAAATCCCATTAAAGACACTTTGGGATAGGGATTCTCTTACCCTTCCCCCAACTCCCAAAGTGTCTAGCTCGCTAACCCAAGCCGAGAGGACATGTGGTAGGTTTCGGCCCGCTAGGGCCCTTCTCCTTACCAACTAAATACTCCTCCCGTTTCGTATTAATCTCAACACTTTCCTTTACATCCGTTTCATATTAATTGCAACACTTCTATATTTGAAAGGGCTCACCATTATTTTATAATTTCTCTCTCCCACTAACCCCACTTTTACAAATATTTTATCATTTTTCTTTCCAACCAACCCCACTTATACTACCTTTTTTATAATTTTTCCCTCCTACCCACAATACTTTATATTATAAAAAAATCCTCTTTTGGACCCTAACCTATAAATTTTCTTAAACTTTGTGAACACCCTAGTGTTGCGATTAATACGAAATAGAGGAAGTAAAATAAAATAAAAACACCTGTTGTCTTACAAAAATCCACCTTTATTTCATTCTATATCTTTCATTGTCATATTTTATTTTACATCCACTCAAAATTTTATCATCCTACTTTAATTAAAATGCGTATTCATAATAATAGAATAGAACATAAAAGAACGAAAGGAGTACATTGAAGCTAAATAAATTAAACCAAATAGATCGAGTTTTATGATCACTCATGTAGTCATGTATGTACTATTAGGGCTGTCAAACGGATCGTGTTGGGTTCGTATTCGTGTTAATATTAACGGGCTGATAAACTTTTGATCCAAACCTAACCCATTTATTAAATGGGTTGAAAACCCGGCCTTGACCCAAACTTAACTCGCTTATCAAACGGGTTATCCGGGTAACTTTTTACCCACTTACTTTATTAATTTATACAAGACATTATATAGTTTAACACTTAATAAACTAATTAATATTCATATTTAAAATTAAAAGTTTTTACTAAAATATTTATATTAAATGGGTTGAAAACCCGGCCTTGACCTAAAATTTTGCCGTTAAAAGTTTTTACTAAAATATTTATACTACCAAATTATGTAGTTAGGAGGCTTAGCAAGATTGGCATAAAAAAATTCAATTATTTTGACTACTCCAATAGACAAGTTAACCATGTCAGATTCAGGTTAATGGGTTGATGTTCAACCCATTAATATAATCGGGTTATGCGTGGCGGTTTCAGGTTGAAAATTTCAACCCATACCTAACGTGTTTAATTTCATGTCAGGTTCGTGTCGACCCAATTACTTAAACGGGTCGAGAATTCTTAACCCAAACCAGTTTATTTCATGTCAAATTTATATCAAGTTATCGAATTGTGTAAGCTTTTGATAACCCGACGTATGGTTATAATATGACGCGTATATATAAAGGGACAACCTAAAAAAAATTAAGGGAAAGTTAAAACTTAAAAAGGAATTAAAGAAGCAAAAAAATAATACTGTATAATAATGAGTTGATTCTTTTAGGAGCAAAACAATGACAGTTGAGGAGACCATGGAAGTGCTACCTATGTGGTCGGTGGTACGTCTAAATCAAACATCTTTTGTTGATAGTGCTCCATCATGTGGAACAACCCCTACTCTTCTTTTTATTTACTTTTTTGCCTTTTGCCTTTTAGGCCAATTTTTTATTTTCATTAATCTTTGTTTACTTAAATCTTAAGAGAGAATTCATTATGAATGGCCTATAATGGCTTAAGATTTAACAATTTAATGGCTTAAGATTATTAATGGCATATGATTTTAATGTTAGTTTTTTTCATTATTATTTATTAAAAGTGGATAAGCGGATAATGTTTCGATAAGTTATTATTGAGATTACGAAATTTTGATGCATAATTTTATTTTAATTTTGTGAATTGTTTCCATGCATGAGAGTATATTTGAGTGACTAATAATGTACATGTGAATGGACATACAGAGTAATTTGTTAAGAGTCATGTATAGCATATTTGAGTGACTAATGGAAATATGGAATATTGTTACATCCTACGTAGATACACAATAGTATACACATTTCACGTCAAAGGTAATGTCTATGTTCCCTTCTTAATTTAAGACAAAAATTTACATTTAATGATAGAAATGTATAGAGATATATGTATGTAGCAAATTCATGATTCATAAAAAAGTATTGGGTGAATCTGTTTCACCGTAATTCCACCCCACCCAACCAATAATACATAAAATTTAAAAAATTGATATTTTCAACAACTTATACTCCGTATTAAATTTTCAAAAACTTGTACCTAAATTCAAAAGTCGAGGTGTTAAAAAACTTTTATCAAATGTCTAATAACTTATTTCTATCTCAATGTGAGTTCAGATTTACACAATTTTTTCTCTTTTAATGATTAGAGATCTAATACTCAACGACAATGATGTTAATTTCTTATTTAATGCCTTGATATTTATTTCATACTGATAATTTAGCTGCCACATAACGAGCCTTAAAAAGTCCGCGCTAAACATACAATTCGTGAAAATATTTGTTTAGCAATTCCAAACACATTAATTGACAATTCATCAACTTTGCATGCATGTGTATATATATGTATCATTTTCACTTATTGTTTTTTTGGCGACCAATTATATGGTCTTTTCCCAATTATTGATAATGTACAATGATCAAACACAATTTTAAACTGCTAAGAAAAATAAAAACATTGATAAACCACATATTATATATCAGCCACGCATAGATTAACGGAGCCACTAGTTTAAACTTTAAACACACTTAAGGGTTTTTTTTTTTTTTTTTTTTTTTTTGTTCATATTCTTAAAAACTCACAAAAAAAAATAATAAATAAAAATATTGGTCATATTATGCTAATCTAATCGTGTTGAAGATTTATATAATGTCCATTATACAAGTGCACAATTAGATTATAATATATTTTAATTTGCCCCTTTCTAATTTGAATGGGTCGTCATCACTTTGAGGTTGAGGCCGCTAAAAATCCCCATAAAAAAACACTAAGGTACTTGAATAATTATTTCAAGTTTTATAATTACATTAGTGTGTCAATTGGTAAATGAATATTATTCATGTCATTTTTTGGCTTTAATTTTGTAGTTGTTTAAGCACTCTTTGGATAACTTATCTGTTGTATATTTAATCACCATTATAGAAGGAAAAGGAAAAATAACGTAAGGAAAGTTTGTTAGCCAATCATACACCATTTCTAATAATGTAATATTGTAATGCACTAATGCTTAATAGTTTACTCCTAAATGCGTGAGCATTAAGAAATCTTTATTATGTGACCTAATCAAGCATCTACAAGCTAATTAAACAATTCATTGGTCTCTATAATTTAAACTTCATTTACATTTTTTTTTGTGAAATTTGTCATTCTCGCTCTCTTAAACATGCCACATAGTTAAGTTTGTAAGAGAATTATTGTTTTAGTAGGTTTAATTTGTAGCTATATATCACTCATATTAAACCATGTTCAGTTCACCTTAATTATTGTGATCATTCTTTTGAAACAAATGAAAAAGCTAAGCATATGTATGAAATTAAAAATAAAGTGTGGAATAATTGTTGTGATTTTTTTGTAAACATCATTCTTTACTTTCGAACTAATAAACGATATTTAATAGCGCGTTTAAAGCGCGCTATAATAAGATGTGAGATTTGTAAGAATTTTGGATGCAATGTTATTTGATCGAATGATGGGTGAGGTTGAGCCTAATAGGCAATTGGCGAAATATAGAAGACGACCTAATATTTACACGTAATTCATTCCTTTGGAAACACTTACAACACAATCCATTGACATCATATTTATGGAGATTAGATCTAGAAGTTAAACTCATTTTTATCTATAATAGCTTGAATATCGATAAAGGACTAAAAAATTAAAAGGTAGTGTTAGAATTAGAGATGGCAAAAGTTGACACAACACAACACGAATTGGACATACACGAAAAAATCGAGTTAGTATCAAGGGTTTACATCACGTTTATTTAAACATGTTATTAACATGTATGGCATGGCATGATCGTCACATTTAAAAAAATAATTAAATATAGGTTGGATTATTACTGAGATTCTCAACACGAAATTAACATGGTATGACTCAACTGCTTAAGAAATAAAAACCAATAATTTATAGAACTAATGATAAAAATGTTGAACGGGGCTTACGTTATTTAATATACGGAGTAACATGGTAGCACGACACGCGCCTAATACGCAATAAAATAGTTAGTGTTAAATGTTTTCGACACATGTAATTACATGGGTCAATATGACACAACGACATATTTATTAACTAGGTTGGGTATGTGTTGAGATTTTGCAAATCATTTAAAATCAAACACAAACACGACACAACATCAGCTCTAAAATTAGAATACAACATCTTGAATCTGTTAGTTTAATTTGCTCCCGTATAATAATTATATTTCCTAATTTTTTTCAATAATATTTTAACTTTATAAGGTTTTATATCAAAATGTAAAGAGTCCAACACACATACTGAGGAACTCCAATGACATAAAGTAATAAACTACGAGGTGTTGTTTTTTCAAATCTTAAATTTGATTGATAATTTGTACTGTACTCGTATTAGGCAATCTCTACTTTGTATGTAGTCCTAAAACAAAGATTAAAAGAGGCTGCTACATGCCAGGATCATGTGAGCCCCACAATCTTCATTCTAAACTCCTTTTATTTCCAAACTTACGTGTTAACTTTGTTCTCTACTACTACTAATATATGCCTTTTTATTTTATTTATTTTCCTTTTTATTTTTTTTATCCCGAACTTGCAAGGTTCTTGCGAGTTCGGGCCTATATCAATACTTCTATCACCTTACCTCTTTCCCCTTTTCCCTCTCTCTCTACTCAAACTCTCTTACAAAAAATTTCTCTCTCCTCTCTCTTTCATTCTTCTTTGTCAAGTTAATAATAACATTATGAACCACAAAAATCAAACCCTATTCGCGGGTAATAATAATCCCATGAAGCGCAGTCCATCTGAGGCTGCGCTTCATGCCCTAGTCAACAATGATCCAACAAACATCGATATCGATCATCATCACCATAACAACCATCCCATGTTCTATGATCATCACCATCACACCGCGGCTGAATTTGTTGATCCAACGGCCGTAGTTGTTCCTCATCATAATCATCATCATCATAATCTTGCTGATGATTTTGGATTTAAGACTAATAATGTTAATCATCAGGTTTATTTTCTCTCTCTCTAAACATCTCTAACTTTATTATTTTATATGTTGGTTTTCTCTAACGTTTATTTGTTGGAAAAATATGAGATATTTATATTGTAAAAATAAGGATGTAGGGAATATATGGTGGGTTGGCGGAGTACTCAATCATTTGCTACTCTACTACTACTTCTAGTCCCGACTCCCGAGTGCTGTGTACTGTACTTTCTGCTGCATTTCTTACTTGCACGTGCGTTTCACGTGTTTCTTTATTTTTGTTGTTTTTTTTGCCTTTGTGTCGTGTTCCACCTATTATTATTATTATCCCACTTTTTTTTTCTTTTTTTTTTTTTTTTTTTTAACTATTTTTATATTACATGATGTTTTATTGTTATTTTGATTAATATATGAAAAAATTACAACGGTAAAAATTGTAATGATATATATTTTTTTTAATTATAAGGTATTTCAATTATTGAACGTGTATATTTTGGACAGTCTTGTATCATATTATGATATCATCTCGTATGTGGTATGTTATTTGTTTTATTTTATTATTTAAATCATAGGTTATATTTTAGATTTATGTATGTATTAAAAATTAAATTATGGAACTTATTAATAATACGGAGTATTACTTATATGAATTTCATGAAATTTTATCTATCTATGATAGAATTTATGATTAAAATTCTAGTTGAAGTTTATCAAGAACCTTTAATTAAAGAAAACCAAATATATCCACTGTAATTTTGTAGTGAAATATATTGAACTTTTGCAATAAAAAAAAGTTAAAATTATATAGAACTCAAGCAAAATTTACAAATACTTTGAATTTGTATCCATCCATATAAGAGAAATTATTATATTTATGTCTACAAGAATAATTTTTATTTTTATCCATGATATGGCTATACCAAAACAAATTGAACAACAACTAACTATAAATTGAGAGGATTATCTCGATGATGTGGTACTTTTGTTATACTCTTATGAAAGTGTTAATCTTGTAAAATTTTCATATAATGACTTAGATCAACAATCTTCTCAGTATTCAAGTTTAAACTCGAAGAAGATCTTGATCATCAACGAACCTTACTTGTTTAACATTAACGAACATATGTGTATCTATTATCGAGTCTTAATCCCCTCTTTGCATCCCTAAAAAAAATTTTAGGGCCTTAATAAACAACTTCAATGATCACTTGCTAAAAAAATAAAGTAGGTTATATTGTACCAAAACATATTTATTGAGCTTGTCTTTGATAAAGGTGATGTAGATTGGCTTGTGAGCAATAAATATGGTAGAGGACCATGAAAGTGATGAAACACAACTGATATTTCATTAATTCTAATTAAGGAGGTAAATCATGGATTAGTTGCTGGTTTTTTGGCTAATGATAGCCCAAAATCAAGTTCTTAAATAAGTTGTCCAAAGTTAATGACTAGGAAAATAATACTAGTACATAACATATTTTATGATCCATGATAGATACATAAGGGAAATTATTTTGACGTCTTTTTTTTTTTTTTTATTATTTATTGTGTTACTTCAATCGTAGTTTTGTTTTTTGTGCCTCACAATGTGGAGTGTCCAAATCAGTTTTTTTTTTTTTTTTTTTTTTTTTTTTTTAACACGTAACGGGTTTTAGTTTATATAATTATGTACTCGTCATGAGTACAATATTTATTTTCTCATTGTACTTGTATACTTAATTTGTATATCCATTTTACAGAATGAATAATGTTATGAATTTTCTATATATTGCTGAGATTTTCACATCTTACAAATTATCAAAGTATTACATGTTCCTATCTGATGATATCTTTCCATTATTGGTCTCATAATCATATATTGAATAAAATTAGCACAATTATCCCTCAGCACTATTAAATTTAGTAATTGGCATAATTTTGGAATATTACATAAAAACATTGTCACCTATAATTCAAAGAATATAAGTTTTTTTTTTACTCGAAATTAATTGTTGTCAAATACTTTTATATTGCCATGATTAATAATCTGATACAATTTCATCAAATATAACCTCAGTTTTTTTTTTTTTTTTGGGTACCTTCTCCTTTAATCTCATTATCACGCATTTCAATTTGAGTTATGCTAGGAATCTCTATCAAATATTTCCCAACATTTTTGAAATTACATATACTTGTATGTAGTATGGATTATTTTTTTATCTAAAGAACATTCTTTGTCTCTTCCTACCCTTCAAAAGTCTTTATTTTCCAGCTAGGAAGCAAATAAAGACGCTAAAACTTAATGAAGAAGTTTCGAAACTTTCAAAATAAGCTTCGAGTTCATATTATTGGTCATGGCGGATGGTTTTAAAAAGGACGAGAAAATCAAATCAAAACTACTCCCTCCGTCACTTTAACCAATAATAATACAAATTAATCCTAGCTTATAATTGAGCAAGTCTTCTAAGTTCTTCTTATAAAATGGTAATGACTTCACATATTTTGTTCATTACTTTATGCAACTTTTGGATGTAAATTATTGTAAGCTTAGCTATGAAGAAATTGACAAATATTAAAGGAAAAAAAGAAGGGAGATTCTTTAGGTGAAAATGACGTAAAGACTAAAGAGTACTTTAAAGTAGGGTTTCTAAAAAGATACTCCTAGATTACTAAATATGATGAGTTGTGATTCAGATTCCAAACTATTTTAATTGGGCCCCACCCGAAAAATTAAAGGTTCATGCTAATAATTTACGTAGAGAATACTTCCAACTTCTATTTAAAGAGACGTTCTAATGGATTATTATAAGTATGTAATTAGTGGTAAGACCTTTTTGGTTCTTTTCTCTCTCTCTTTCCTTTTTCCTCTCTAAAAAAATAAAAATAATATTGGAATTTCATATTCTAGGAGATATTTTTGTTCCATCAGGTATAATTCTATTTCAAATTGAATTTAATTTTAAAGATCGGATTATTTTTAAAGATCGGATTATTATCAAATACATACAGTAATATGTTCATTTGAAATTAATTAGTTGTTACATTGTACGAATTTTTCATATAGTTAAGAATATTATATTACTTTATAAATGTACCTTTACTTTGTTATAGGTGTGTTGTTTTATCTCTTCTCATCATCACTTATAAAAATACCGGTATTTTAGAAATTAGCCAACTTTTCAAACATCTTGAAGAAGTACATGATACATAGCATAAATGTACGGGTGTTATGCATAGCTGATTGTTACAATATTTTGACATGAAGTCCATGTTATTGATAACATATATACAGTGCATCTTTTCTTATGCCTATTATGCATATATCGTTACATTACTTTGACATGTACTTATATTAATATGAACAAATGAAGCAGGACATTATCAATAGCTTTGCAACTGGAGGAGGATTTGATCAGCAAACAATCTCATGGTATCAGAACTTCACCCCGCAACAACCCTGTCTCTCTGCGACGATTGATTCGCAATCATCCATCTGTGGTATGATCATATACATGAAAATGAATTGAAGATTTTGTATAACATGTTACAATATTGTTGCATGTGGTGTAACAATAATGTGTACTTAATATAATGTAAGATGGATGAACACTACTAATTAATATTCCATTTGATGTGCGCGCAGCTGGAAGTCCAACCTCAATTCTTATTAAGCCGAAAACAGGAGATAATCAAGGAAGTGGTTCCTCAGAAGATGATGAAGAAGAGACAGAGGCCGGTCAATGTGAACAGAGCGGCGATGATGGTGTTGATGTAAAACGCCAACGAAGGTATATAACTAGTCTTTTGCATTAGTACATATGTTTATTAAGGACAATACTTGTACTGGATCGGAGTTTAAGTATGATCTTGAGGTTCATGAGGTATGAATGCTGCCAAATATGTACAGCAAGCGATTTTGGTACATAATTTGATTATATGCTAGTAGAATGACCACATAAAATGTGCAATAACATAATACTGTATATGTTTTCAGGATAAAATAGCAGATTAGCTAATAATGTGTGTAATATATTTCAGGATGGTTTCAAATAGGGAGTCTGCTCGTCGTTCTAGAAGAAGGAAGCAAGCACATCAACAGGAGTTGGAAGTTCAGGTGACATATGCATTCCCATTCTAGTAGCTAATTGAAACCGTCTGATTGAACTTATTGATGTCGGTCCAATAAGGTTTTTAGACAGGATTAATCCTGTTTCGGCATTAATTATCTTTATATCATCTAGTAGTTCATATATATTAATGTTAATCAATCTTTAGTTCTGCTTAATAGACTGACCTTGTGACTGTCTGTACTGTAATTTGCAGTTTTGCACTGATCTTTGAATTAAAATCCAGCTATAATCGCCGTGTGTTTAGTGTAAATGAGAGTTTGGAATTTAACAAATGTTCTGTTCTATACAGGTTGAACAACTTGGTTTAGAGAACACTACGCTCTTCAAGCAGCTGAACGAGGCAGCACAGCAGCTCAGGGAAGCCACCACAAACAACCGAGTGCTTAAGTCAGATGTCGAAGCTCTGAGAGCCAAGGTGAAGAAACATAATTAAGCTCCTTATTAGCATAAAATACTAACTAATCATATTAAGATGTAGAAATTAGTACTGCAAAGTATTATGAATGACATATGATCGAAAATTCAGGTGAAATTAGCTGAGGACAGGGTTACTCGAGGCACTCTGAATCAGCTTCTTCAGAGTACTAATTTGGGATCACCTTCACCTCAAATGGCAGGCAGCACCCAAAACATATCATGTGTCACGAATGTCACCCCAGCAATCATGGTGCAAGGACAAGACTCGTCTTTTGAAGGGGCGTTTTCGTGGCAGAATTCCAATGATCATGTGTTGCATGGAAGTGCTAGTAGTGGCCTAATGAGTGACAGTACAGTTAGCTGTGGCGGTACTAGCTGTGTGACAGGAATTTGGCGCTGAGAGTCGGGGTTTCGAGTGTATTATGTAAGTACTCCTAGATGGTTTTTGTGTTCTAGGAAGGTGATAGAAAGAGGGAAGTATGAAGGGTTGAATAATAATAATAATAATAAGTCTTGTAAGTTATTAAAGCTAGTTGTATGTGTTTGTTACTGCTGCTATTGTTGTACCTTGTAAGTTACCTAGCTATTTTCTGTTATATTGTGTACGAGAGTCAATGTATTAATGGATCACTTGGCTGGTTAACCTGGTTTTATATATCTGAATTAGTCAAAATAAAATGGGAAAAAAAATCAGGGGATCAAAACTTCTAGGCTAAATTATAATCACCTAAAAATGTGTTAATATACACTTTACAGTAATCTGCATTTGAAAATCTGAGAATTGATACTTTCATAATTCATGATAATATGATATGTTGGATACTTATAACTTAAGTTGTCAGCTGTATTATACATTTATACTACCTTACTACATAATAATATGATCATTGAAGATGTATGAGAGGCCAACAGGCATATGTATCAAGAATTTGCACAATTCAAGCAAGTGAGAAATGTATGTCACATCCGGCCCCGCCAAAGGCTTGAACCCTCTATGTTATGTGACAAAATGCTTGTACCTGAGACACATTTTCTATAGCTGATGTGGATTAAACCACGATAAGGGATACTAGCAATCAGGGTAAAACCTAATTCAATAAATTTTGATCTTTTCAACTCAAAAAAAGAAGAAAAGCAACGTAAATTTTGATCTTTTCGAAAGAAAAGCAACGTTTTGAAATCAATTCGATTCACTTGAACCAACTCACAATTTTCATGTTTTCATAAACTCAATCAATCTAAATTGTCATTAATGAAAACGAATATTTATAGGCATACAATCCCATGTCCGATAGGATAAACAAACCTAAAAGATAAATTAAATCCTAAAAACACTAATAATATCTTTATCCTAAATAAATCATATGAATACGATAAAATAAATCCTAAAGAAAATAAATCTAGACTCCTAAATTCTTGATGCTTGATCTGCACCATTCTCCCCCTCTTGAAAAAAACTTGTCCCAAGTTTTCTCGAACCAAGAAATCATCCAGATCAAATAAACAAAATATGAAAATATATTCTCTAGAAGATCATTGTTTCCACCTCTTCTGATTTCACCACCACTATTCAGTGTGGTTGCTTCCATATGCCAACAATTAAAATAATTAGGAAAAGATATATCATGAACAATAAAGTCTAATTTTATCACAAAAATATGTTGTATAGCTTGGATCTTCTGTTCATCTTGATTAATTGCTTGGGTTGCATCAATAAATGGATAAGACAAAGCTAAATCTAATTCATCATCTAGCACCTCGATTTCTTCTTCATCTTGCACAACCAGATTTGAAACATTATCAACCTTGTTCATAGAATTAGAGTCAATTCAACCACCTCTATCTCAAGTGCTTTTATTCTTTTATACTCTTGAATCTCAACCATAATTTCGTTTGTGTTACTTGTTGCAATTGTTGATTCACTTCCAACATTCTCTCCATATGAGTTATAAGCTCTATTTGGCTACCCATATTGAACAACAAATTGCAGTAGCAAAGTACACGTCCAATAGCAAGCAATCACATAATAGACTTAAAACTGACCCGTTTGGAAAACACTTCAGTTTAATAGGAGATGTTCACCAAAAATTCTGAAATTTTGTATGTGAAAACTAGACAAAAAAACACCTAGCTTCAAAAAAAGAATGGTTGAAAAAGCTTTTGTTATGAAGGAGATATAGCCACTTGAATCTGACCCTCAAAACGGTTCAAAGCTGATGAAAATAAAGGGCTACCAAGATCTTGATGAACTGAAAAGTTTTACAAAAACCTTTGGCTCTAATACCAATTTGATGTGGATTAAACCACAATAAGGGATACTAGCAATTAGGGTAAAACCTAATTTGATGCTTGATCTGCATCAATAGGGGAAGAATTGACAAAGAATTATAAACATAAAAATCATGATATGCGTGCATATACTTGTAGTTTTGACCTTTCACAGGTCAATCTAGTCTAAGTTTGCATGCTAGACTCATTATGAGTGACTAAGTGAGGGGATAGGATAACTGGATAAGGAAATCCTCACCCCAAAGTGTTTCTAGTGAGATTTTATCCCATAATTTAAATTATAAGGTCAAACCCTTATCTCGAGGTCAAGCCTTGCTTGATACGGCTAGAGTACAGTAAATTTAGTTAAACCTCGAGAGTATATGTTGGAATCTCCTGGCCTATTATTTGAAACGGTCTAAAAGTTTAGTGTTTCGGCTCATTCATGATGTATCCTCACAATAGATACGAGGTGCCCCTCCTATCACAGGAGGGGTGGGGTGAGGATCGAACCCCCATCACACGGGGGGAGATGGAGGGACGACTAACCATCCCTCCACTCCTTGATCCTTTGTCTATCTTGATCTATGCATATTATGAAAGGTAGGTGTTTAATTGGTTCGTTGTCAAATACGAGTAATAATTTGATATTGCCAACTCAGTATTAGCTAGTAAGAAATTATAACAGGTTGTGGTCTTAAATTCCAGTTTATAAATAATTAGTAGTACGGAAGTAGCGGAACATATTATGATATTCCGTTACATCTGTTGTGCACGAGGAAGAAGAAGAGGACGAGGCTAAAACATGTCATGAAGTCATGAGTTCTACAGCTAAAATGGGATGCCTTATGGCTGTTAATCCATCATTTTGTCAGTACTCACTGCTACAAAGAGTACAAACTACAACTACAACTACAACGGATCTTTTTATTTATTTATTTATTTTAATTCTTTTTCTAAATAACTACTTATTTATTTATGTAATGGTAGGGATCTACTACTATAGTAAAATGTTTATTTACATTCACTTGTTGGATAATCGAGTAATTAAGGCTTGACTTACTTGGTTAGATCCTTACTCATATCCTAGAAGTTTGAGGTTCGAATCTTGTTAGGTGAAAATGTTTGGGTTAGGGATTCCCTTACCTTCGGATCCCCTTTATATTTACTCCCCCAACTAGCTGCCTCGCAGAGAGAGAGAGAAAAAAAAAAAAAAAAGATAATGAGGTGAACTGACATTACTATGGCATGAGCATTGGAAGGACTTTGCTTAAGAGAGTTTATAGTACACTACCTTTGTTCTGGAAAGTTTTTACCATTCATTGTTTGCACACAAATTGATTAGGCAATTAGAAAAAGTAAGCATTGTAGTGCATGAATATAATGTAAGGAAAAATGTGTATGAAGTAAGGGAGAATTAGTGAAAATGTATAACTATATATGATGAGATAAGGGGAATAAGTATTCGGTAAAAAAAAAAAAAAAAAAAGAATATGTATTTGCTAAAATTGGATTAAAATATAAGTGTTAAGAACATTTTTAAACAAAAGAAAATGAAACATGTTACAGCTAGAATTTTTCGAAAACAGAGGTAGTATATGGCTATATGCTATCAAATTTTTTGAATAATGCAAACATTACTTGCTAATTAAATTAGCCAACGTTTAATATGGATGAAGACTAGAGACAAAAGAATTAAGTCATCATTGCATATCATTTGGCCACTACTTTCGTTTATGAAACTCGGGGTTGATGATCAAGCATTGAATTCCAAATCTTACAATTAAAAAACTCAACCAATAAACAAAGTTTAAAAATGGCTAGAATTCATGAGTTTTTTTTAAAGGTATACATTTCTTCATGTATACCCATTTTCCAAGTGTTTGTTGTATATTGACCCAAAATAAATATAAAAAAAATGAAAAGTGTATCAAATAATAAATAATGTTCCTTTATAACATTTTTGAATATGAAAATCATCCCATCATCAATTCAAATTCATGGAAATCAACTTTTCCATCAAGATTAAGATCAACCACCTTAATCATCTTCTCAATTTCATTCATATCCCATCCATTATCCAACCCTAAACATGCTAAAACCCTCTTAATCTCTTTAGCATCAATAAAACCATCCTTATCCTCATCAAACACCAAGAAAGCTTGTCTAAGGAGTTGTTGCTTTTCTCTCTTCTCTTCCTCCTCTAGCTCCATGAGGAGTACTTCATTCGCCTCGAGTTGTTCTTCAAGTACATCGAAACTCGATTCTTCTTCTTCCTTGACTAACCCTAGTTGCTTTACCACATTACAAGCCTTCTCTTTGGCTATTCTTCCATCCTTGTCCATGCCAAACACGGTTATTAACGCTTTTGCCCTTGTGTCGTTGGCTTGAGCTACATTCTTCTTGCATGGGGTTGGAAGGGTAGGATTGGAAATCGAATTTCGAGCATTTGAGTGTGGAACTACTCCTAGAGATGGTACTACGTTGCTTACAAGCATTTGGTATACCTTACGAATTCCTAACATATTGAAAATAATAGAAAGAATAGATATAAAATTTGTCAAAAAAAAAAAGAAGCACAAGAATTAAAGAAAGTTTTAGATTAGAAGAATAGTAGATTTTGTCTTGGTTTTTTGTTTTGGATGTTCACTACATTTATGTAGTGGAAAATTTGGTAACACGTACACCATTGGTGTGTTTCCTAACAATTTCTTCCCACTATATGCCCAATTATTGAGGAAAGGTACAATTAATATTATTAATTATCATTATCTTAATTTTAATAATGTTTACCAAAATATTCTAGGAGCATTAATTTGCCTTGTCGAATGGGATATGAACTGGATTTTAATTAGTGTATATAATATGGTTTATTATTGTGTGACTACAAGAAGAATGCCATATACATCTAGCTTGATAGTTGATACTATAATTAACAAAGAATAATATGAAGATGGATCATGTGATAGTGGAATAATGGATGTAAATCTTCACTTATGAAATGGAATATTGGTAATTTATAAATTAAATTAATCAACTCTCTTAATGGAAAAAGACGATTAACCAATTAATAATCAAGGGCATTTGTAAATTGATGGTAACGTAGATCATAAGATAAGGTCAGAAATGTTGGTATAATAGTAAGTGTGACTTGTAATCGAGTAACTCCTTGAAATGGTAAGAAAATTATATACGAAGTATTAGCCAATTAGTTGATTGTCTCATAAATTTTAATGTAAGAAAAAGAAATGATGTATGTACTTTTTTTAGGAGTTCAACATGTAAATATCATATAAATAAAATTTAATTGTACCGATCGAAATATGATTTTTTCATGAAAAAAAAAAAGTGAGTCAATTACTGAGTAACTAATACTATTTCGTACGTACTTCAGTAGTACATAGCTTAGGTATATACTTTCGTACGTAGCTATTAATTTGCATCATATGCTCCAGTTTGCATAAATAGGAGTATTACCTAACAACTTACTCTTCCTCCTACCTTACCCCCACCCTTTGTACTTGTGCACTTTAGTGCCTATTCTAAAACTTAGGTAATTAAGGTCGCTTTTTTTCTGTTGCCTATCTCGGACTAAATTTATTGTTTCATAATCATTAACCATATTTGGATCGTACAATACAACCAAACTCGAAAATGAACATGATTAATAATTTGTGTAGAATATTATATCAAGGAGAATTATTTAACCATAGACTTGAGTATATATCACCTTACTTAAAACTTTACAAAAAAATGATGTATCAATTGAATATGAGTCAAATAGATCCAATACCAAACAAACTAACTCATTACCAAATATGATTCACACTAAATTGATCAAAACCAGGCCAATCTGGATCAAATTACTCCTTTTGCACCTCTACCAGACACCAGTCTACCCTTCCGACAAGACCAATCCATTGAACAACATGCTAAACTATACCTCTAACCATGAGATTCAAACCAACACGCGGCATTGAATATATTGAAAAGATCATTTGTTAACTCTCATCCCTATTTTTTTTGGGTTGTTTGTGTGAAAGTTATAAATCATCTTCATTCAATATTGTCATTGAAATTGAAACAAAAATTATCCCTAGTCCGACAATAACGTTGAATTGATACATACAAATTAAAGGCATAGCTACAAATATACGTTGAACAGAAACATATAAATCTACATTGTATGATTTCTTGTCAGCTACGTATTTAATTAATTTCATATAGAAAATGGAGATCCAACTACATGTTGCCTTTACTAAATAAGTGCAAAAACAACTGAGCAAAGTCAGAAAATCCACAAAATATAAATAATTATAATTTTCTGATGGGCCTTCATTTTCAGTGTCAGTATGTTTAGTGACAACCCATTTTATATTCCATGCACCTCAAGGTCCAGCATATTACCTTCCATGAAGGAGGCATTAAAACGACTATGATATTCATCCTTAATGTTGCATATAAGCATTTTTATATTGATACTCCGTATAAGGTCTCGTTTATTTCACTTTAGTTTTACTGAAATGGAATTATTTTTCATTGAACTGAAATTATTTTTACTGATTCTCTACTATATTTCTTCTTTAACGTTACTAATATTTACTGAAATGAACTTATTTTTACTGAACTGAAATTATTTTTACTAAATATTATTTTTCTAAGCTGAAGTGAACAGGGTCTTTAAGTTTGAAATATATATTTAAAACACAGTATGTGTCGAGCATTGTAATTAATGTTTAATAATTCTTATATATAGCCTGACCATATATATAGTTAATCAAATTGGCTAAAATACTAATCAGAAATGTTTTATAAAAGTCCTTAGGAATATATATCCATAGAGAGCTTAATTTTTCATAATTTCGTAAATTAAAACTTATTTTAAAATATATTCAATGCTTATACACAACGTTTAGGCTACATGTAGCAAATCCGTATCTATTAGTATATAAAGATCCATAAATAGTGGTTTGGTTTAATGTATTAGAATATATGATATAAAAATAAAGATCTAAACAACTAACCATGGCACCATCTCTTGGCATGTACTAATAAAAAGGCCACCATACCAAATGCGCAAGATACAAGCTAGCTGACAAGACGCGTTTTCTAGCTAAACTTGTTTCCTCTACCCTTTTTCCTTTTTATACGTCACATCTCATTAATCATTGATTTATTATAATTAATATTTTACTACTTGTTATTTATTGTCCGATTAATGAATTATGTGATGACTAATATTGTAATGTTCATATTGTCCTTTGGAGATGGATGTCCAAAAAATTAAAGAGTGGACTTGGAACTTGTCATTCCTACAACAATATTTGGTAAATAAGTAGAGGTGGCCTTCTTAATTATATAAATTTTGGAAGGCAAAAGCTAATGAACATTTTCGGGACGTTGAATAAGATAATTAGAAGTAGAAATATTAAATTAAAATGTACATTAATTACACCGATCGACGCGTAATTTTGACATGCATTCCCAAATTAATAACACTTTAGAAAGTATTTTAAATGTTTATCTAACGCCCCGAGGACATTCATTAGCAAGATCCATTTCGAAAAAATAAGTTATGAGTGTGGAAAATTATATTGACGATGATTTTCACTCATTTTACCCTTTCAATAAACACATGATTTTAGAAATAGTTCCTCATTCTCATGTATTTAGAGAGTTTTCTTTTCTTTCTTAAAAAAAGAAGGTATATGAGGTTTCGATGTAAAATAGTTTAAATTTTGAGGTGGAATAATCCAAAAATTACAATCAAATATCGCCTATATTTATTACACTTTATGGCTCTCTCTAAACTCAATAAAATATGAACTAGTCTCTATATTATTAAGTTGAATTCAAATTAGGGTTAGTTTATTTAAGTCATTTCAAAGTAAAGACTCAATGAGCAAAATTCAAAAGTATTTGAATATGAACTTAATAATGCCTACACGAAACAATAGAATAATTAATTACAAAGTATGAGGTAAACTTTATACTGAGTAGATCAAATTTTTACAATAAAGTAGTCTAATTAGATGTTGATTGAATCAACTTTTGCAAACATTGTAAAAAAAAAAAAAAAAAAAAAAAAAAAAAAAAAAAAAAAAAAAAAGGCAGATCCAAGCTACTAATTAATTCTACTCCATATTTTATTATTTTTATAATGTATCTCTTTTTGTTTTTTTTTTGTTATTGTTATTATTATTACGCTGCATTGGTAAGAAGTCTTGTCAGGATCAAAACCCTTGAGGGTCAACCAGATCAAAGTTAACAGGCGAAGGGTCAACTTGATCAATGTTACAAGCTAGGCTTGCTCTTTAGAAATAGGCGGGAAAGGTAAGCAATCTCCACCTCTGAAGTGTCTCTAGTGGGAGATAATTAAACCCAAAAAATCAAAGTTGGAGCCTGTAATCTCCGTATTTTATATTTAAAGGAAAGGTACACAAAAGTTAGGAAATTCTTCTCTCAAAACTATCTCTGCATTCTATATGGTAAAGAGTGTAACGACCAAAGATATCTTGCAAATCTTAATATAGTATTTGTATATGCTAATGTTATTTTGTGGGTATATAGTTGGTATGGTGGGAGCTGATGTGGGTGCTGAAGTAGGTGTTTGCGGAGGGTAGACAGCCTAAAATAATACTGTTAAATATTTTCAGCTTGACTCATTTTCAAAGTTGAATGGAATTACTTTTCTTTTCTTTCTTTTTTTTTTTTTTTTTTCAAGTATCAATTTGAAAAGCTTGAGTATATGATGAACAATTTTAGTTAATATTGTACGTGAACTAGAAAATTGTGAACTCACTTTATAAACTATTAAGACCAAAGAACCAAACTACACAGAAGTGAGTACTTGAACAAAATTACTACGATCTCAAAGCACTGGACCTGAGAGCATGTCGTCGTACCATACTCCAGGAAACATACACCCTGGTGGCTTGTTTACTATACCCTCGTGCAACTTTACATTCGAGTAATAGATGTGTAATTCATGACCTAACGATCATATAATTTACATGGTTCACCGGCAAACTAATTCAGACATTTCATACTCTGTCTGTAGTCTGTACATATATCCACCTCTGGGAATTCTAATTCTACCTGTAAGCAGAATCTATTGCACAATCTCTCATACGCCCAAAAGAACACACATCTCATTCACTGGAAATGCTCGTGAGCCTTGCGGCAAGCAAGGCATAGGCTCTCATGCACCAAGTACACACCTCAACCTGCAGAGAATTTCTTTCATGCACACCACTATACTCATTATTGTAACAATCCTGTTGAACACCGCTGACAAACTTGGATAAGAATTAGAACTCATCGAGCTACACTAGCTCAGGTTCTCTAGCTGACCATTTACAGGTTTTTTTTAAAAAAATCTTTTTATTGAATTAATATAGGTAGTTATCGAGATTCATACAATATGCTTTCAGCATGTATTTGTATACAATTGCTAAGGGTATAGCCTTCAGTTTCTGACACTTTCGTATCTTATAAATATACATCAGTACAGATATCATTACAGAAGACCATACAAAATTTTAATAATGAATACAAGGGATGATAATTGAAGAGAAAATAAAAATCAATTAATTAAGGGCCTTCCAAAATCTGAATTACCTTCCCTATTGCCAAGACCTTTCAATTCCTTGGGTAAAGGGAGTTTTAACTCTGAACAAACCAGCTGAATAATCTCTCCGGTGACACCACCAAATGACATTTTATTTAGGGTAATGGCTATTGAGAATCTGTTTTTTATGTCACAGAAACCAGTTGACCCACCCATTCCCGAGTGACCAAAACCAATAATAGATCCATCAGCGGAGTTTATCCGCTTAAATCCTAACCCAAAATCTCCATTAGGCAAAGCAAAATTCTCATATTCTCCTATACCCATGAAGGCATCATGAATGCTGGGGTTACTGAAAAGTTTCTCAGTTGTCATATCATGATCATAGCCATTCACATCACTACCCAGTATGTTTTGATCAACATGACCGCCATTGCTATTACCATTGCTATTGCTACTGCTGCTAGCCTCATCACTTGGAACCCTATCATAACTAGGATCCTTGACAACCTTCGTACTTTTTTCATAATTAAATTTTTTCGGACATCATGGTTCTGCATAGAGAAACCAGATTTAGACGCTTCTTACTAGTGTTGTTTACTTTCTTTCGAAGTTTTTCAGATGAAAACTTTGGAATATGGACGTGGCTGCCAAGGGGTGGTGAGGAGGAGGGAAGCTTAGGAACCGTTCCACGATCGGCCAATGAGGCATAATAACGCGCAAGAGCACGAGCAGAGCAGTGCCCATTAGCAGCAGGTATGATAGCACGGCGGACAAAAAGAGAATTGAAGAGGGCTGGGAGTGCAGTGGCAACCTGAGCAATCTGACTTGGCTGGAAAGAGGAGGGCAGGTCAGAACGAGCTTCCACAGCAGAGAGTTTCTTGAGATCATCAGTGTCCAGTGTAAGTGCTGCTAGTCGATTTTCAACTCCTGAATTAAAAATATGTGAGACTGAAGAAATGAGAAAAAAAAAACTAAGAATCAAAAGGATGAGACTGAAGAAATGAAAAAAAACTAAGAATCAAAAGGAAGAAGAGGGAAAAAATAGCATCAATGGAATCAATTACATTCAATCTAATTTCAGTTTTAATTAGAAAATTAAAAGAAGAATTCTAAACACAAGAATGCTAACTCGCCTGGGGGAATCCCAATATACAGCTCGCCTTCAATACTTAGTGGACGAATGAATGCTTCTTCAAGAATCTCTTGGAATTTCTTCCCTGATGCACGCTGTAAAATTCAATATCACAATTTAAAATTAAAGCACGTATACAGGTTTAACCGTTTAAGTGTATATCAAATGATGATTAATTCTGAATGTAGAGTCCAAAATGGAGTCACCGGTCAGGCAGAGAGAGTAGCAAACTTGGGAGTCAGGACAAGAATAAAACCATGATCCAATATAAACAGAACCAAGGCAATGCTGCCAATAAATACTCACTAGATCACAAATTAGAACAAGAATATGGATTATTCAGATCAGGTCAATTTGACCTGGCTCATATTAAGTTCAGGTGATGAGTCACATTACATTAAATTAGGTTTAGTTCAGTTTAATTTGGGTAAAAACCTATTCAGCCCCAAAGATAAATTACTTGTATTTACAAAATCCATCATTGATAATCGTATCACCTTTCAGATTCAACGTGCAGAAACCCGTACAGTAAAGATAAAATGAATTTTGAGATGGAGCCAATTGTTTATATCTACTGGCGGCATGCCCAAAAAAAAAAAAAAAATAAACAAAAAAAAAAAAAAAAAAAAAAAAAAAAAAAAGAAGAGCATAATAGCATATGATAAATATTGTAGTAAATGTCAAGATTAAAACCTCAGCAATTCCACCACAGAGCCAACCAAATGAGAGATAATGGTACAGCTGTAGTTGACCAGGTTCACTCTCAGGAGTAGACTGAGACATTTGTTGCAAGCAATCATTCCAATCAGATACTGATAAAGGATTATCTTTCATGATGTTGGCAAATGCATTGTGGAGACCAGATGTATGATTAAGAACGTGATGAACCTGCAGAGGAAAAGCATGTAATGTAACAAAATAGAAGGCAAAGATGACTATGTCCATGTAAGAATAATACCTTTATCACATCTTTATTATTTGATGCAAATTCAGGCCATATAGAGGCAATGTTTTCATCATACCGTAGTTTTCTGCAGGATAAGAAGCAAAAAGAATTATCCAACAGAAAATTTCAGACTTTTATATCCTCCCCACTGCAAACCAACATAATTATATTCCTAGATTTTCAAAGGGGTAGATTCTACTTTGGACTTGGAGACCCTCTTTATAAAGTACATCTTTATATACTTAGTAGCTTCACAATTTATGCAAAACACAAAGCTTAGTTGCTTCCAAGGAATTGATACAAATGTCTAGCTGCAGGATAGCTAATTTTTTATTTTATTTTTTTTAAAAAAAAAAAGGAAGACAGACAGATATCAAAATTTACACACACATGCACACGCACAATAGCACCACTTGCCAACAGATTATAGTTTCAGAAACACAAATCCAAAGCAAAATAAGCACAATTGCACGACATTAGTAAATCATACCCGTTATCGACTAACCAATGTAGCAGTCCTGCAGTGATACCCTTTGTCACTGAAAAGACAGGAAACAATGAATCAAGCTGAACTGGACGGGGATCATACTTTCCAAGTGCTCCAGCAGCAGTGTCAATGATGACTTCCCCATCTTTGTAGGCACAGACCTAATTGACATTGTAGAAAACTGATCATGATAAGTACATGCTGTCATAGGAACAATTCAAATGCCTTAATTTGTTGTGACCAGTCTGCTGTAATTGGCAGTGGTTGAAAACATAAAATTCTTATTTCAACATCAGCAACATATATTCTTTTAAGCAGAATTATACTCCTTCCGTCCCCATTTATTTGTCATATTAAGGGAATGAGAAAATAATAAGGGAACATTATTTATTGCAATGCTTCCTACCTTTTACATTATTTATGACCAATAAAAATTGAGTTTAGTGGCACATCAAATGCTTTTGTGGTTTATTATTGGAAACTTGACAGCTATTTTGAAAAATCCCATATTGGAAATTTTGACTACTATAATGAGATAGAGGGAAAACTATTCATCTGCAATTCTTCATCGCCTAAATTCCATTATATAATCTCTGTGGTTCCACAAGTGATGTTCTATGTTTCGAGTCCTAGGTAATGAGTCTTCGTTAGCAAACTTTTGCTTTTCCTCGTGAATTTTTATATACACTCACACCCACATCTTTGGATGACAATGAGTAATGATAAATATAAAGAAGAATAAGTGTTTTCTAAAGAAGATCCATTACCTGGATATTCACAAGGGACATTCCGTGTAAAACTATAAATTTACTTTGCCATTCCCTAATTCATTACTTAAAAGAGTTAAAAACAATTGAGCCATATAACAATATAGCAAGATAGAACTAAGAAGCTTATATCAAAACAGAAGGGATGCTACAATTATGATAACTTTGTATCCAAGACTCAGTTACACACAAGCATATAAGAATCCTCAAAGATTCAAGGAAAAAATTTCACAAAAAATTATATAAAGGGAGCAAGAAGCACCTAATTTCACACAACTGATAACTAATGTGCTATGAATTGATATTAGGGGGAGGAATATTTTAGTGAGGCATTATGAGTTAGTGGCTTGAATGATAAGCTAGTTAGTAAGAGGAAGAGCTCAATAAATAGCTACAATTAGAAAGAAGGGGAGTCGTGTTATATATTTGTGGAAAGTAATTAGTATTATGCACCCTAGAAGAGGGCCATTGCTCTTGAAAGATTGGCTAGGCTGTAATTGGTGATTCACCTTGATTACCATTGATACAGTCATATCTTGCATATTCTTTCCTAGTCCTCCTTCCTCTCTTAATCACTCTTTTCTGTCCTTAACCTCTCTGTTTTGGTCACTAATCTATGCTAGTCCATAGCATAATGCTTTTCTCACTGTAAGATACTAGTACATGCCCAAAGAATGGAAGACATGTCAATACAATACTACATGTCTACTACTAATATAATAAGGTGAGCTAGCTCAAGCAACTTCTCAGCTAAATCTTGAGATCAAATATAGCTCTAAATCACTAGCGATAAGATCCAATACCAGTGAAGAGTTGAAATTAGGCACTTGATAGATTGCGTATGAACAATTCGTATATCAAGTATGGAAATCGAAGATTATGACACTAGCTAACTCTCTTTTTCAGAACCACCACCCAGGACATATTAATAGACACATGTAAATATGTATATCAAATCTCAACAGACCTGTAACTATCTTGTTCAGATTCCATTGAACTTTTGAATAAAATCAGCAATTAAACAGTTCAACTAAAAGTTCTAGATTAGGATAGTAAAATTTAATATTATGAAGGATGAGTAGATATTTCATTAAAATATAACATAGAGATACTCCAGTCTTTAAACTTCTAAATCCTCAAAGACACCCTTCCCACCTCATTAGGATAAAATGAGAAAAAGATGAAAGATGAGCAGACAAACAATATACAGATGAAAGATGTGAAAAAGCAGAATAAAACAACTAATAATTTACTTAGTAAAGATACATAATTCTTATTTACTTGTGAGCATGCTTCATCTACGCCAGGGGGGGGGGGGGGGGGGGGTTGGGGTGCGGCTTAGACAAGTCGCAACTTAGATTCAGTACTATAAGGAACGTGAAAAGAGTCATGACTCATACAGTATAATATACATAAATAACATACCTGAATACCAAGTATCTTTCCAGCATTTCCCAGATCAATCAAGAGCTTCCGCAGCTTGCCTTCCACATTTGAATGCACAGGAGTATCACAGAGCCATTGCGTATTTGTTGCAGGCCCCATATCAATGATTCTGACAGGTAATCAATTTACGTCAGACAAGGCATGAGTTGAATTTAAAACATCCACATTTGGTAGAAAATTAACACACCCGCCCAAAACAGACTCGGCAAATGGTCTCATGATATCAAAGTAGACTATGCGGACTTCCATTGTAGCAGAAAGACCTATTTCAAAGTCAGACGTTTAATTAATATCAAGCCATGTATATTAACCTCAAAAGTCAAGACATTGTTCAAGGAAGGTGAATTAAAAAAAGATTATCTATAAAGCATTAACACCCTAACCTCTCAAAAGATTTAGCACCCGTGCAAAAATCACTATATCCCCAGGAAAGGCATCAACCTAAAAGCAACCATTACAATGTTTACAAACATATATGACAGGAGAGATAGTGTAGCAATCGTAGCATCATTCATTGAGACCAAGTGTACTTACAGGACTAAATCGTTTAGCTTCTTTGTCATCAAGCTTCATTTTTTCTTGTAAGGCTTTCATTTTTTTTGCTCTTTCTTCTGAGAAATTCTTCAATGTTTCCTGGACAGAGAACATGAAATTAGTATAGATTAGATTAAAAAATCAACAGTGACCTTGACACCAAACTGGGCACTCACAGCAGCTTCACTTGCGGGAGTTGAGTTACGAAAGAATATTGTTGTCACTTCCATTGCCTGCTCAGGTAAGTCCATGCGCAACTTGAGTCCCATTTCTGAAAACGCAGACAAAAGGGCCACATGATCCCCCTGTTGTTGAAACAAATATTTCGTAAGACGATAAATATGATCAAATAGAAGTTCTAAGATGTATATTATCTTTGAGAACTCAGTAAAGCGCATCAAGGAAAAAAAGAATTTTAAACTAATCAAAAACTAATTATAAAATCAGATTATATGAAACAGCAGCTACACTAGAAACAAAATGTAACATGGATATTAAGGTTGCAGGCAATCAGGAAGAACAGAGTGATTACAGGATCTGTTGAACTGCAAATCATTTCTACAGAATATAGGGCTTTTAGGCAGTCCTAAAATTTCAATAAATTTTGTTGATACCCTGATACCACATTACAAATCTTCAAATAATATTACATTCTGGTCTGCTCAAGATCGCTTAGGAAATATTTTTTTCCAGTATCGATGTCACAGGGTTCACCCAGAGAAAAAAGTTCTCTGTCATACGTTAAGGCACTGTTGAATATGTCATTCATTCATTTCCTCCCTATTGACTGCAAAAGTTTTTTGTCAGGCTTACCAAAGAAGCATAACATATGTCAATCCCATGTACACAGACCAAGGTCCAGACTTAAAATACAAACATTTAGGAACTTTAATTTTTGTATAATATAAGGAAGAAAGCATTCTCCAAGAAGCATCAATCTTTAGTCAACATGATACTCATTTAATTCAAATGACCTCTGGATTGCAAACAGATTTGGGCATTTGGCCTCCTATTGAAGCCTGAAGCTTAGAAGGTTAAAACCCCGCAAACAATATTGCTAAAAACATACTTTACCATCATTCAAATTACTGGAAGAAAATCCCTTATAACAGCACAAAGAGCTCCAACTAACCTCCGCAGCTGCTAGGAGCATTTTCGCGAGAGCTTGTTTTGTGGTTTCTGGAAGTGACTTAGTGAGGCCAAAGTCGAGCAAAATTGGACGATGAGGATACGCTTTACTCACAAGAAAGTTTCCTGGTTTAACAAAACAAAAAAACATTTGAAAGCTAGATAGATGCAAATAAATTTTACTAGTATAAAAGCTGTGAGCAAATATAGTGGCAAAGAACATTACAGGGTAATGACAAGCAGCAAGGATGGACAGTAGCAGAGATATCTCACATACCAGGATGAGGATCGCCATTGAAAAATCCATCAACATAGATTTGGTGAGCATATGCACGTGTAATTTCTTCCACAAGTTTTTTTTTATCAACACCCATTGCTTGCAGAGCTTCAACGTCACTTAAACGAACCCCATCCATATACTCCAAAATTATCACTTTCTCAGTTGACTGTCAATGGTAAAAAAGCAGAAATTAAACAGGGAAAAAGTCATTGTTTTAGTGTTAAAGGCAAGACCTGAATAAGTTCGTAAATAAATCTCTCAGAAAAGTCTTGGAGGTATCTCACTTAAGATCTAATTGAATCTCAAGCTGAGTTGATGTGCTCATTCTTATATATTTGTAGTTCACTTTTGGAGAAAAATATATTTTCAGGATGAACTTTCTCTTGTATGTACCAAATTTGATGGAAATAAACCTATACTCTGGCATATTATCCTCTGTCACGGCTAAATATTTCAGCATCATACACACCATTCAATTAAGATCTTTCAAGAGAGTAATACCTGTATAACTTCTGGAATCAAAACTTCAATGCTATTGGTTCCCCTAGAATCCTTGTTTATTTTGTCGCAGCCTAGATTACTGGCCACCTTTCTAGTATTCTCTACAAATATGAAGAAATCTAGTGAAAAACATGCCTAGAATTAAAAGCAAACTAACTTAAGCAACAAAACTGATGATTGAAGAAAAGTTGTAGCACTAATTCAGTGAAAAACATGCCTAGAATCAAAACAAATTAATTTATGCAACAAAACTGATGATCGAAGAAAAGTCGTAGCACTTTATAACAATTAATAGCTACAAGAAAATAAGTACCAGCCTCAATGTTAAAATCAAGTTCTTTTGGTGCTTCTCTGCACCATTCATCTATCATGGGGTTGAAATTGTAAACAGGTTCAGCCCATGCTATCCACTCAACAATTGACTTTGCATTCTTCAAGTCCTATAAAAGAACAAATATTACATCAAAGTCAGTGCTAGTTTACAGGTTGTGGCTCTTTTATTTTGTTTATGTTTTAGTTTTGCTTTCTAATGCAAAAGTCAAATAGGGAGGAAAAGGTATTAAGAACCTCCAATATAACTTGCTTGATACCCTCATGCTGAACTTTGACCACCACTTCCTGTCCATTTTGCAGTGTAGCACGATGAACCTGTGCTATCTACACAAAAACATAAACTAAGTCACAAATAATTTTAACTTGCTAAAATAATTGAGCATGCTCCTTCATTTAAACATAGAGACAAAGTATTTAAAGGACGTTTTCATATTATATAGAATAAGTTTAAGTTAATTTAAAAAATTCCACAACTGTCACAGGCCATCCTATTATAGATCAGGATACAACCTTGGAATAGTCTAATGAGGTTTCCATAAAGAGCATAATAAACAAAATACATGTCAAACACTGCTTGATGAAGTTCAAGATATAGTAACACAAGACATAAAAGAATGTCACCCGACCACCTGAGTATCTCTTCACATTCAAATAATCATACTAAACAGTGAAATCATTTCCCATCCTTGACAAGCCCTCCCCATAGGAAAAAAATAAATAAAGGAAAAACAAAGAAAACAACTACCAATAATGAAGTATATTTGATTTGACAGGAAACCAAGTTAATTGTTTAACCGAGTTATTTTTTTAATCATTGGAAAAAAAAAATATAAAAAAGGAAAAGAAGGGTCCTGACTCCTGATGCATGTACAGCACTCTGAGATATAACAACTTATTCTATCCTGCAGTGTTAGGCTGACATACAAAAAAACAATCAGACCCGTAATAATTTAAATCTTACAGATGCTGTAGCCAGAGGTACTTCTACAAACTTCAAAAACAAATCCTCCACAGGTTTTCCCATCTCCTTCTCAATGGTATGACAGACCTGTTTGGAAAAAAATACATTTTAAAAAAAAAACAATAAAAAAAAAAGGACAGAAGTCAATCCAATGGTACATGTACATCTGTGAAACATCTTGTACACGGTTAATTTGCTATTTCACAGATGAAACCAACAACACTAATGCAAAATATAGTTGATATTGCCCACGTTTCCAGAAATATTTCATGTTTTGAAGCAATATGCTATTAGATTTAATCTCAAGATAGTCAAAGGTAAACAATATATATGTGATTCTTTCAAAGTGCTTAGCTCTAGTGAATCTGTTTGTTCAAATTGATAGAGCATGATCAAATGAGATTGTAGCTGATGGCTTAACATATTCAACTTCATCTTTGAATCTTTTCACAACATTTTGCCCCTGGTATGTTTCATAAAGCACTTAGTGCAGTAAGAAAATATATATTACGGTAGGTTGTCAAGAATGAGAAGCTTGAGAGAAAACTGGACTATCAGAAAACACACACACACACAAATTAAAAGTTCAAAGTGAAGTCCTAAGGTGAACACTTGATTGATAGGTAAATGGATACATTAGCTTCAAGCAAAAGACATTAATTCATTAATATGCTGCTCGAAATGTGATATACCTTAAAGTCATATATCAATGAAAGACAACACTTCATTTCCAAAACGAGTCCATTCCCATTCAGTGAAAACATTTAACTTTTCACTTTGTGGAGTTCTTTAGCTTATTTCCAACAAATACTCACAAAAGAAGCAGCAATATATGATTAACCGAAACTATATGAAATGACAGATAATATTAAAAGCAAAAAATCTTCTGGACTTCCATGAGAAGAAGTGATATTTACTTCAAATCCTAAGTAGTTTTTAATTAAGATTGCAAAAACAGTGTTAAAAGACTTCTCAAAGGCCAAACCTAGCGTATCATGAACTAATACATCAAAAGCAGTATCAGCCAGCCTCACACATAATAACACTCGGACTCGAGTCATGGGGAATAGAATGGCCAAGCTTAGACAAATAATCTGCAACACAATTAGCCCCACGGAAGTTGTTGCAGCTATACATAATTTAATAATCTTGAAGGAGGTAGTTGATATCTTGAATGAGCATATGGATGTTCCATGGGACTGAGTAAAATAACCAAGGAGGATAGATTGAATATTAAAGGCAAAGGAATATTAAAGACTGGATCATACTGGATAAAATACCCTAGTTATCCAGGCCACATATATTGAATATTAAAGGCTAAGGAATAAGAAGAGAAAGGCAGATAAATATGAAAAGAGCAACTGATAAGTAACCTGGATTCTCTAAAAGTTCAAAAGGAGCGTCATCACAGGAATTTGAGAATGTACATATTGGACCACTCAAAGATGAACTTCCAGAGGTAGTCTTTAATAGATATTTCAAATTCTGGACAATAATTGATGATAACTCACTCTCATTCTACAGGTATCTGTCGCCCAAACAAATTCCTAAAACAGACTCAAGCTAGCCATGTCTACCCATAACTAAAACCCAACAGGAAATCCAATATCCTTAAGCTAACAGCTACTCGTTGAATCTGGAAATTAACATATGACATACAACTATACAAGGATTGCATGTAACAGCTACTCATATACTCTCTCTGTCCCTATTTGTTTGCCCCATATTCCATTTTGGAATGTTCCTTAAAGATTGTCCCTTTTCTCCTAATATAGTAACATGCCTTCACCACTAAACCCACTTGCATACACTCATAAAAGTAAAAAAGACTAATACACCTTCATCCACTTGCAATTTATTTGTTCAATCCTTAATAAAGCACATTTTGCTTATGGGGCAAACAAATAGGGACAGAGGGAGTATAAAGTACATCCAATAACCCAAAGCCACTAATACTTTCACCTATTCAAGTTAATTTTGCAAAAGTCGATGGAAAATGACCTCATCTAAGGGTCGAGGAGGAAGGGAATCCTGTAGCTGTTGGAGATGCCGTATATAGGCCTCAGGAAGAACATCAGCTCGTGTGGACAAATATTGCCCAAGTTTTACCCACAAACCCTCCATTTGTATCATGAAGTTCAGAATACGCCTAGCATTGCGCTCATGAGCCTTTTTCCATATAGCAGCCTTTTTAGTTTTGTTTTTAATCCATTTACTTCTCTTCTGTAAAGCCTGTAAACATATAATTCCGTAATGGAGCTTTCAGCACATTATTTAAAATATGTAAGAAGAGGAAGAGGAAATGAAAGCAGGAATATATGTTGAAAGGTTTACCTTATAGTCCAGGTAGATTATTAAGGCCAAGGTAAAAACTTTGACACGCCTCTTATAAATGTTCCCCCACCCCATCAGACAAGCGATATACTTCTTGATCTTCTCAATAAGAAAAGGAAAAGTTAATATGCAAAACTCTAATTAAAAGGAAAATAATACAATTAGCCAAAACAGACAAAAACAACAAAGAAAAGGTATACATATACACATGAGAATACATAGAACAATTTCTGGTGTGATGATAGTATAATACTCAAACATATATGATACATGTGACAAATAGTTAGATTTACACACACAAGGACTTATAGGTCGTATACAGCTTTTAATTGTGAGCATCTAAAACAAACAACTCGTCAGAATACTCTATATATCCTTAATCTCATAACACTGAACAAGAATTCTTTGGATTTTATCCTTCACACTACCGTAAAAAGGTTCTTGGTCTATCACTTGTCTCCTCCTAGCTTACTATAAATCATTTTTCACCATCCCTTGAATCTAGTTTATCGTAAACATCCATATAAGCCCTCAAATTAGCCTCTCGAGTAACTTCTTTTGCCTCATCTTCAGCATCCTTATACTTTGCAATAGTTTCTTCATTTCTGCATTCTCCCAAGGCCAAGAAGCATTCTCTTTTGTTCTTAATTGCAGCTTTTACATCGTCATTCCACCAAAATGTGTCCTAGTGCACTCCCCGGAACTTGATGTCCAGCATTTATGTCACATCACAGTTATAGGGGATAGACTGACCGACATGTGGACTTACCTAAATGACTGCAAAGCTATAAGGTTCAAAACTTTGTTAATCAATAAAAATCTCAAATGTGCAACCTCTCCATATCACTTTCTTGACAAATCAACACTCACAGCTCTACAATTCTGCTTTCTCAAATTTTCTAGCATGTCAATTCCCTAAAGTAAACTTGTCTCTCCAACATATATAAAGCTACTATAGCAGACAGTGTTCCTTACACAAATAGTGATCAAAAGAATTGGCAGACTATCTAGAAGAATTCTACAATGGCCTAGCAAATGATCATAATGGCTGCATCCAACACGAAAACACCCGCCCCACGGCAACACACACCAATGCCTAAATGAAGACCATAAACATTTTAATTTCACTTCCTCTATCAAACACCCAATGAATATTTTTTGCAATTCTCAAAGTAAACACCTTTTTTTTCCTCACTCAAAAACTCCAACAACCAAGTTAGCATCAACATTGCAAACTTTTACAGTTTTACCAATACTAACCTACTAAAATCCAACTGCCTAGCTCCCAAGTAGCCTAATTTAACTTAACAGTCTACAAATACTCAAATTTGCTTTCGATGCACACAAATTACTCAAATTCAACCCAATTCATCACAAAAAAAAACCCTTCATAGTACATAATTCAACATTAATAAACTTCATGCATTAAAATAAAAATTGCAAAAATTCAAATGACAACTACTCAATTCTGATTAAAATAACATCAAATTTCAATGAAGTAATAACCAAAAATAGCAAATTCAAGTGATTGAATTAATACATGAAATAAAAACGCGATCGCCAAATTGAACAACAACATGATCAAATGAAATTGTGAAAACTCACCTAGAAAAAAGGGGGAGAAAATAAATGGAAACAGAGGAGAGAGAAAGAGAGGCGAGAAAATAGAGGATTAGTTCTTGGCTTGTATACTACTCGTATGTACTAGTGGTCCGACTAGTTATTTTTTTTTAGTGTAAAGTGAGTCAAAATGAAATAGAGGGATTAAAAATTGACTTGATCGATCTTAGAAAAAATCACTTGTACACATTTAATAATTTAAAATGATTTAATTTTGAAATAAATACGACATGACCTGACCTTATTAAGCCCTATTTAGGTATCTGAATCGATACCTCTAAATAAAAATAAGGTGTAGACGGGATGAGGGAGCCAAATTTATCACCTTCATAAACAAAATTTATTTTGCATAATCGCAAATAAATAAATAAAAAACGTCTAGTCAATATGCCATTTATGTAATTATATCAACAACCGTGAAACCCATACTTAATAAAAATTTGTTAATATATTTGTTTATCAAGGTGATAAACTTATAGTCCCTCCGTCCCAGAATACATGAGACATTGGATTTTTTTCACTATTTATGCATTGACCATAATTTTTTACTAATATAACAAAAACATATTTTATTATAGATTATGTGGTTAGATAGGTATTAATATAAAGTTTCATAATATCATTTTTAAAATAATTTTTATTAATATTTAATTATATAAAAATAAAAATAAAGTCAAAGTAGTGCAATATTAATTGTGTCATATATTCTGGGACAGAGAGAGTATTTTCTTAGACGGGAGCCTATCCGAAGTCTTATATTAGAGAGGTGGAAGAATTAATAAGTTCTGGAATTGTGGTTGAAGAGAGTGGGGTAGTAAGTACTTCGTATTAGGTGAGCAACGAAGGGAAAGAAAGCGGCATGCGTCGTTGCATAGATATGAAAATGAAAAAGTGAGGAAAGAAGAGTCCAAATAGATACGCCTTCCTTCGCCAAGTATTGTGGAATTGTCAATCGTTACGTATACGTGGGGTTGGCTTTGGTTAAGTTTTAACTACCGGCTCATATTCAATATTCATGCTGCTTTTAAGAATTGTATGTACTACTACTTTGGTCTTTTTTTATTTGTTTTATTTTGACTTATACGGTATGTAAAGCTTATTATTTACTATTAATATCTTTAATTATAAAACAATATAATGATATTACTTAGCTTAATTTTATCTTTTACTACTATTCTTTGATACAAATCTAATAATATCTCTTCCTTAAAAAAAAAATCTAATAATATCTCACACATGATTATATTTTAAAGCATTTTTTGGAAATAACCACCTACTATTGTTGTCGTTTTAGTAATTACCACCCACGTTTTTTTTTTTCTTTTTTGTAATTTACCACCTACTATTTTTAAAAACATGAAAATTTCCCACCAAATTTCCCAAGCCCTCATACATGACGTCATCATGCCTTCTTCTTCCTCGATTCTCATGTTCAATGATTTTTTTTCAATATAAATTAAAATTAGATTAGGAAAAAGCATTTAGTCGTCGATTTAACATAATTCAAGCTCACAGGAACATAATTAAGTCACTAATATGTGTCAATTATAATTTGTTGTTCTTCATTTAGGGTTTATCCCAGATTTGGGAAATTTTTCAAACTGAGATAATTTTTCAAATTAAGCATTATTTACATTGATTAACTCTATATAGAACTAATATATATGCTCAATTTAGGATTGTAAATCATAATTTAGAAAAACGTTTGATTTTAAGATATCCCTAAAATACATATGAACCCTAATTTTTCATATCAATAATTAGTAATAATTTCATAACAATAATATCAATTTCGGTACTAATTGAAGACATAATACGTTAAATTGATGCAAACTAGTCCCAATTTCATAGATTAATCACTAGATATCAAACTCCTAATTTCATTTCAAAACCCCAAATGATAAACACCATCTTATATTTAGCCCCAATTTTGTAAATTAGGCAATTCGAAAACTCCTAATTTTGTAAAATGATAAAACTCCTAATTTTGCATAATTTGTAGTTGCAATTCGAAAATCGAAGAACAAGGTTAGATTAAGGAATAAAATTGTAAAAAATCCGTCGGTAAGGCCCACAATGACGTCATGTAGGCAATTAGGTGGGAAATTTTCATTTTTTTAAAAAAATTAGGTGGTAAAATACAAAAATAAAATAAAAAACTGTAGGTGATAATTACTAAAACACCAACAATTGTTGGTGGTTTGTCAAAAAATCCTATTTTATACGGAGTATATATTAATGAGAATTTTTTGTTATAGTTTAGTTTGACTCTGAAAAATCAAAACCAAAAAAAAAAATAAAAAGAGACATAAGAGTTCGGTATTACATTTTCTCCGTTTATTTATATTGAAATAATTTAAAGGAGATTTAACATGATTATACTTTTCCCATGTATAGTTGTATAAATCATAAAAAGTGATCAAAAGAGTGTGTTAATAGTGTATAAGTCAAACAAGGTCAAATACCAAAAAACATACGAGTATGAAGTAATAAAGGTCATGCGATAGGGCAATACAAAATATAGTTCATCTAACCTTTTAAGTATCTTGTTCTTTCGTGACTTTATTTATTATGGGGCATTTTCTTAATCTTCAATTTAACTTTTTTGTTAAAACAATCCTGCTAAATGACAGATGATTATTTACTTTATGTGACCCTAAATATTTAATTTTTTTCAATTCTACCATCATTTTTTTTATTTTTTTGACTCAATTAGTAATTTAGTACGTATTGTAAAATGAGGGTTATTACCATTTCACAAAATTAGGGCCTTTTGCAGTACATATTGAATATTGATATAGATTTGTCTAAGTTGTTTCAAGTCATTGATTGCTACTTTATACTTACCAAATTTTTATGTTTTTCTTTTCTTATTATTATTAATCCTTATTTGCTAAAATCCACTAAAAATGACTAAAAGATACGTGAATTTTATAAGAATATAACTTTTCCAACTTCAAAGTTTTGAATAATAAGTTAATAACGGTTTTGTTTTCCTTGTCATAAAGTAACATATTTTCCATTCAATAGTCAATGATTGCAAAACTATCTTTGGATCACAAGTTCACAACATTTACATGATTCTCCGAATAAAAACAAATCAAATAGGACAGTCACTCAAGTGACTCAACCCCTAAAAAATTCTCTGTTCTCTCTCTGAGAGGCTGTCATCGATTTTATCGATGGTAAGCCCCAAATTCTTTTTCAATTTAATATTTTTAGCCAATAAAGATCACTAACAGTATGGTGATTATAGTCAATTCCTCTATGTAGGCTTTAGTCGGTTCCCTAATGGTGGGATATGATTTTTAGTATTGTTTGTTTGTTTGTTTTTCATGTGTGCATGGATACAAATTTATGTAGCTGCGGGTCTGTTGGTTTAGGGGTGCAGATTTAGAAGATTCGTCTTGCAAATTTGCCGATCTTGATGACCAATCAAGTTTTATCACTTTCGCGACTATACATCAATGGAGCTCCGTCAAAAACGATGCAAAGACATCTAAAATTTTTTAAGAGCAGTTCAGAAGCGATGCATTAGTTTAGAGGTGTTAAATACTTGTATTAAGAATTTAGATCTCTTAAGGGATGATTGTAAGTGCCGAATGACTATTATTATTTAATGAAATCACCCCTTCCTATTCCAGTCAAAAAATAAATAAATAAATTACTCAAAACATTGTACAACACAATTACACAAGCCACGCTTATTAAAATAAATAAAAGGTTTCAACCAAAGTATTACGAAGTAATATAACAAAGTTAATACTCTCTTCTATAATTATCTTGTATAATTTTTTTATTTATCTTTAAATATTATCCGGTCATATAAATGGAACATTTCACTCATTCAACTCATTCAACCCATGTGATATAGGCTCCACAACTATCTTACTCTCACTCTGTATGTGATGTGATGCCCTTCACTAATTCTATCTCCCTCGATTAAAATTTTTATGCTTACTTTTTCACATAATTTAAGGACCAAGGAAGTATTGATTTAGAAATATGTGACAATATCACACCCAAGTATTTAATACATTTCTTAACTAGGTATAGAGTAATATATAGAAATACGTGAAAAAATCATGCGTTGATTGTTATAATTAATATTCTTAAAGTATTTACTACTTGAAATATATGCTTTTGGCTCCTTATATGCAGTCTTAGTAACATTTTCCCTCTTTTTAAGCTAAATATCTAAGCATTATAAAATGATTAAGCAACATAATGGGCAACTAGACCTGTTCAACGGGTTGGATCTGGGTCGGATCTGGGCCGGACTGGGCTCTAATTAAATGGGTTGGATCGGGCTAGGGTTGAGACAAATTTGAAATGGGTTGGTTTATTCCATGGACTGTTGGGTCCAGCCCAATCCAGCCCTTTCAAACTTTTTTTAAATTAAATGACTTTAAATTGTTAAAAATATTGTCACTTATATGGGCCTTTTAATTTTTTTTTAAAAAATTCTTGTCAATTAAATGAGCCTTAGTCAGAAATTTTCAGTAAAATTGTGACAAATTTATTCTTACCAAACCATAGGAGAGAGAAAACTTTTTTCAAAAAAAAGAAAAAAGAAAAAAAAAGGAGAGAGAAAATTCTGCTAGAAACATGGTTGAAGAGGTGACAATGACGATGATGGTTTTTAGGTTCTAAATTCTCCCTCCTTCATACTCTTTTCTTGTTATTTTTCTCTCTCTTAATAATTTTTAGTATTTCTCAATTCCCTTATTCAAAGATGAATTTTAAGTCTTCAACTTATTCATCTAGAGATTTTTAAAAAATAGAGATATTTATAAAATTAGCAAAGTAATTGCTTAGATCTGTAAGTTTTTAGAGTTTTCTCTACTTTTTTTATTTTTTTTAATTGTTTTAAATTGATATTTTGTTTGTGATGGATGAATAATAAGAGAGGATGAGAGGAAGGGTTACACCATTTAAAGGGTTGTAAAACATTAATGGTGACCCTTTAAGAGCCCGTCACAACCCATTACAAGCCCGTATAATGAAGGCCCGTTAAAAGCCCAGCCCTTTTACAAGAGTAAACAAGTCTGGCCCGTTTAAAATAGGGCCGACACAGGGCCTTAAATGGAGCCCCTGTCCATTGAACAGGTCTATGGGCAGCTTATGCAAAAATAAGTCTAGTCTCTACTCTCTTGTGTAGTGTGAAGGATACAACCTCAAATATCTTATATGAAGACTACAAAATCAAGTCTCTATAACATTGCTTTATTTTGGTAAAGAGAAAGACCTAACTAAACTAACACTTTCCAGGCTATGTTTAGTTCTACTTATTTTAAATACTCCGTACTTATTACTTACTTCAAACCAGATAAAAAAATTAGTTAAAAACGATTAAATTAGGAAAAATAAGTTTTTAACACACTTTATCATATTATGTGTGATTTTTAATCGTTAAACATTTTTAATTATGTAATGAAAAAAATTGTGAAAACAACAAAATAATTAAACACACATTAATACAAATCTAATAAAACCCCATTTTGTACAGTTTTTTCTTATAGATTAGCGTATATACAATGTCAAAGTTTAATCAAATCAAACAGAATAATATTAAAAAAATATGTTTAGATCTTTGAAAAAAAAAAAAAAAAAAAAAAAAAAAAGTTCAAGCCAAACCAAATAAGCAAAAATAAGGTGAATTAAACATCACCTAAGAGAAAAGATAAAGGATTCTCCATTCCAAAACACAAGTAAATTGTAAGGCTTAAACGGTTAAACCCTTGACTTCAAAGTCACAAAAGTTACCTACCATCTCCATCGAACTTACTTAATTCAAAGTGAGACTGTCTATTTTTTTTTTAAAACACAATAACAAAAATATTACTCAACAAGAAATACTAGTCTTATCATAATACAACAGATGATATTCTAGTCCTCGATAATCTATGATAGTGGAAATCACCTAATCCCTAAAAAAAAGGCTATCTACGACTGTAACCTAGCAATGTGTAGGAGAAAATTACAAACCCAGGAGGTTAAAAATGAGAAGAGAAACATCATCATCCAAACATAAAGCAACCTATTATGTTGATAGTAAAGCTTCCGGCTCCATTATCGACATAAGTTACTAGACAATTTTTTCACAAAAGAATTAACAATACAAAGAAAATTGTGCCTAGCAAAGAAACCTCCTTCGGGGATGATTGATGCAGTACATCAATGACTGTAAAATCTTCTAAAACTTCATTTCAGCCTGCAACACGAAAAAACAGCAGAAACGAATGAGAGATGCCATGGAATTTCTATTGTTAATATATATCAATCTGTTGGATTGGAGAGAGAGACTTGCACAAGGAGAAGAATAATCTACTTATCATTAGTTAAAGCATGCAAAAATTTAAGGAGCAGAATAGTATCTTCTTCTTTCTTGGTCAAGGCACAGGAAAAAATAAACACTTTCAGCGAAACAATCATATTCATTGATACAAATCATGTTCAAATGCACACACATAATGATCACAACACCTCTTGTAACCTCCAATATAAATCATGTTGTAATTCTTGATATAACACCTCTTGTAACTCATCAAATACACACACACATATAAGCAAGAGAAGAATTACAAGAGTAGTCATATGGGTATTACAAGAGAGCTTGTGACGAGGTGCTGTGATAGGCTACAAGAGGTGTTGTGACACTCATTCCCATTACTCCTCTCAAACACCAGTTCCGCCATAGCAGATCCATAGAAAACAAAGGGGTCCAAAAGCAACAACTGGACAACGAGAATAACAAACTACGCATAATCACATATTGACCAACATTCCAAGAACAGCATATTACAAGCAATGGTGGCAAATTACCTCAGACGTGCCACAAAAGCAAATCAAACTAGATGCTGATAATCTATTTGTCTGAATGTCCCCTTTTACCCTTTCGACGGGCATGATGAGCTTGAGTATTACGAGCAGGCTTCACTGATTTTTTGCTGCACAAACCAAAACAAAGATGAATTAAAAAATGCATATTAAAATTCAGTAATATTTATAGTATATCTTCATATTTTTAATCCAACTTTCTTCTGAATTAGAGTGGAATAGTACTTTAAACTTACCAGAACATTGCTGAGCAAAGTTTAGATAAAAAAATCACAGGAAGGACCAAAAGAGCAGAGGCCTAAGCAGAGAAAATTATAATAAGTTTTAAGCTCAACATATATATATATATATAAATATATATGGACCAGCAAACTGAGAAACAACAGGATCAGAATGGAAATTACCAAAAACCAAACCAACTCCTTTGTTGCTAGATGTCTTGTAACCTCATGCTGCTGCAGCTTTTCATGAACTGCAGATTGGACCTACCAATCCCATTACAATGTGAGAATAAACTAATTATAAATTTATAAAACATTTTAATAAATAAATGAAAAAAAAAAATGGCAGGGGCTAAGATATGATTGCAGTATTAGCGATTACTAACGAGCAGAACTACGGTGGAATTTCAGGTCTCAAAATGAAGAGATAATTTCTCTGCCTTCAAACCCAGAAGGACATCATGGATGATGACTTCCCAAGAACATAATTAAACAATAAATGCTTTCACTTCTGAAACTCAAATCTCACTCTACTTCTAGGCATAACCCAAATGGACAGTATATGACAGGCCCAGACCACCTAGTAAAATTGATTCGGGATTCTCAGTTGTTCATGTAAATAACAGGACAGGTGAACTTCCACTAAAAAAAAGGGTAACCCCAGTTACATTGGGCACACTTTTCTTGCATAACCTCTTCCACCTTCCCCAAGTTACATTATTTGCACATTTGTCCCTGAATTAATTATAAAAGGAATCCCACCCTTTTTCAACAGTCAAAAGACGTTCTTGATAAATGGTCCTTTACTTTTGCTGTTTTGCAGTAAGCAAGTAAGTTGCCTAACTAATTTTATGACAGGGACAAGGCTGATTTCCAAAAAGAGCCTCTCTTAAACTGCATGCACAAGTATCTCATCTGATTATTATTTTTATTACCAAGTATTATTTTTATCGTTTTGAAAGAAGCATCTACTCTGATGTTCTGAAGTCTGAACCTCCTACACCACCCAAAGTATCAGAAAAGCTTATTATGTTATTGTAGATATTTCAAACCATCAAAGATTAAAGAAGTTATAATTGCAACCTAATCGAACAAAGTAGTGTGCTAATCACACTGAAGGCACGAAAGGCTGTCATTTTCCCAGCATAAAGTATAGGGTATTTAAACACATACAAGATACAACCCTACAAATCTCTGTTCACGATTCCATTGCCAAAGCCAACAGTCAATCCAGATATCCAACAATTTGTAATTGAAAAAACACTCCTCTCCAGTCCTATCGCTACAATTAGTTACATGTGCAGTGCAAGTGAAACATCAAGTGGGAGTGGGAGTGGGAGTGGGAGTGAAAGTTAGCTATGCCTAAGCCAACACCAACAATTTATTATACCACTTTATTGTGACAGTTATTCCTTAATACACTAGTACACAACTACACAAGAATAGCACATATGAAATAACTAAAGTATTACTGGCTTTATCACATCTTTGAACATGTAATGCTTCTTTATTTATTGCTATTTCACTAAATATAGCAAAGAGTTCACCATAAAAATTGTAACCACCCCTACTTCACCTGGACAAGGGAAAGAGAAAAAAAAAAAAAAAAAAAAGGCTAACACAAATTCCACAATTTTCCTGACTTGAAATATGCCACAGGATTCCCGATGAAGATTTTCTTTGCAAAGCAATGCCTAATTTTAAAAGTTTCTTTAACAGGAGAATGGTTCCAAAGGGAATTATCACAGCCACTATGGAACTCACAACCCAAGCTGTCACTTCTATATACATAGGGGACAATAGTTCAAAGGCTTGGGGAAACATTCAAAGTTTACCAGCAAAGTTGAATGCAATGGACACTGAAAAGTTATGAGGCTTAGGCTTAGTCAATGAGAAATTCAACAAATAAGTCTCTAGTTTTGACCCTCAAACAAGAATGCTGTCAAAATTTTCGTAAGAACCCAATCTGACGTTCACAATCAAATTATTTAGCAGAACTTTACACATCAATGAATTGGGATCTTGTCCAACTTCCTAACTGGTCAAGCTTTCCATTTCCTTGGGAATCTGACGACTCCATGCAAAACGGAAAGCCTCCAATGTCAACTAGAGGGTAAATAATCATGTTAATGATAGACACAATTTTTCTAAAGTGAGGCTATAAACATCCTTGACTTCCAAATATTGGCAATCCAATACACAAGAATATCACTGCTGCATAACCACAAGAGTAGAGCTAGAACTCTGTCCTCTACAAGTAGACTGCAAATTCAATTAACTACCAAAGTCTATTCAATTATGACCATTTCACTCCCATTAAGCAGGAATTTGGAACAGCTATAAAACACAGCAACCTAATTTAGACATCACATTGCAACTTAGCATAAAGCACAAACATAGGAGCATGTATCTAAGCCTTACTTTCAAGATTACGAAGCCCACTATGTCCAAAGGAGCATTCACCACATTACATATGGTTGGCAATCTCACTCGCCCATTTACCACAAAGTATATATTCATCATTACTTCATGGAAATTGCTTAATTTACTTTTTACTAATTTAAATTGAGTGAAGAGGCTGGCATTCATTCTTCCAGAACATTTAAGCAGCTTTCCACCTAGAGTAGGTAGGTAAGTTATACTGTTATACTAAAAGCCTGAAATACATAACAGAATTTTTTAGAAAAAACCACAATTACAAAAGATACCTGTTGATGATACGTAGTTGCTGATTCTAGAAATTTCCCATAGACATGAACTGCCTTCTTAGTATACGGCTTCAAGGCAGTTCTTGCTTTTTCAACATGAGGCTTTGCCACAGTGGCAACATGATCAATGTATGGTTTACTTACTTTCTTCACTTCCTGGCATAGTAGAGAACTTGTCTAAGCAAACAACATTATCTGAGGAAAAAAAATAAATAAATAAACAAAATAAGGCTTAAAATACCTGATAGTAAGGGTCTGCCAGCTCCTGTGCTTTAGTGATGTGTGGCTTAATGGCATTCTTAGATGCCTCAAATGCCTCAGCAGACTTAGCTGTCAACGTCTGAATATGGGGTTCAACATACTCTGTTGCCATCACCCATTGCTCCTTCACAACTGGGACCCATTTCTTCATAATTCAAACCAATTTGTGAGTGTCCACGATAGATATAAAATGAATATAAAAATGGCAATATGAACCATAAGCAGAGCTCATGATGCTAGTGTTATCGCTCATGCATACAAATTAATTAGATCAATCAACTGGAAATATTCACGAAAGTAGACTACAAAAAACAGGCATGCAGAACAATTACACACATTACAATTGACATTAAAATTCCCATGTAACTTACAGTTTTAATATTTTCAATGTGAGGTTCTGCCCACTTTTCAGCTTGGTCCTTCTTCTCCAATGTCTGGCAAAAATATTACACAAGCAGTGAGTTGGTAAGTTCTGAATACATTTAAATAAATTACATGACTATATAGAACCAGCAACAAACAAACAAAAACAGTAATTTGGTTAAACGGTAAAACTTGGATATCATGACATTACCTTCTGAATCAAAACCTCCATAACAGGTTTTCCATGCTCATTCCACTCAACCGTTAGAAAAGACTACAGTAGAAAAATGTCAGTAATAATAACAGAGGGAACAGGTTATTAATTATGAGAGATAAAAAGGAAACAAGGACAATTAATTTACCCAAGAACGAAGCGCATGATCCAAGAACCATGGTGGAAGCCATGCACCATGCACCTACACATCGATAAGATCAAAATCAATAATCAAGATTGAATTGGCTCCAAACAATCGTCGATGTCAAAAACTCATTTAAAATGAATTAGATGTGAAAAGTTTGCAGCTTTATATGTTTCATACTTTCAACAAACAAGTCATATACTACCTTGAAGCAAGATAGTCAACAATTTTTCTGCAATTTTTACTAAGTTATCTTTTAAATTTTAATTATTTACAAAATCATGAATTTATCAATCAGATCCTTAAAGAAGATGCATCCTAAGGTTTTAACAACACAATAGGTCTGAGCTTTCAAATTTGTTGTTTTTAAAGCCTAAAAACCATGATTATGGAGAAGACCGAGCTACTTGAGCTCTTGGCAAATATGATCAAACTTTCTCACATTATACAATACAGAGTAATAGGTTGTATATTGCCAATGAGCTTTGAAACTTATTTTAGGAACACATTTCAGTAACTTTAAAAAGCAAACTAGTATCTTATTATGCCTCAGTGCTTCTATGAACATCTACTTGCTTCAAAAAAATTAGCCTCACCAATCAGCAGGACCCTAACAAGGTCTAGAGCTAAAGAGTACTAATTCCTAGTGATAAAGGATAGCACAGCAGTCCAAACCATTGATACACGGAACGCGGGACGGCAGCATGTTTCGCGAACCAGGACGTGTGTCCCGAAACGCGGAACTTACTCGTTCCGGTTCGTGGTGGTTCGCGATCAGGTTCGTGTTTGATGGATTACCCGTTTGTAGGAGAAAGAACCTTCTATTTTCTTGAGTTTTTTAGGTTTAATTGAAGGCTTAAAGCTTCAAGTTTCATTAATGGAGGAAAATGAAGAGTGTAGAAGGAAGATGGTCGTTGACGGCTGACAAAGTGAATAGATCCTAACCTAAATTTTCTTTAAAAAAATGGTGTACCCTTTCATTTTTATTTATAGTACTCCGTATTATTTTATTTAATACTTTAGTGCCTAGTACTAGTATGTACTGTATAGCAGTACAACACTACAGCTGTATATATTTTTTTCTATTTTATTTTTTGGGTTAATAGGCAACTGTAAATTTTCCAGTTTATACGGTGTTAGGTAACTATAAAATCCAAAGAAAGTCCAATAAATTTAAAATTAATAAAAAAGAAAATTCCAATTTTAAAAAAAATCGAGAACTCTACAGTCATACGTTCCGGGAACTCTTTAGCCTACGTTCCGCGTTCCCATTCTCGTACCACGTTCCAAAACGCCCCACGTACCGTGTAACGTTGGTCCAAACAAATTTCTGAAGGAATAATGTTACCACCTTTATCATATACACATCGCCTCAACCTTGGAATGGGGAAATAAAAAATCACATGTATATTGGTCAAATAGTTCCCAAACCTTGATAGAAATTGTGTCGTGAATACCTCGTTTTTTATAATTCTAAAACTACGATATTTGCAACATGCATATGGTAGCAAAATAAAAACACAACTATGACAATCCCCATTAGATCATAGTCGTAGCCTAACACCAAGAGTCAAACCCACAATTCAAGAGAGAACTCTGCATCAATACATAAGACATTTGGCAACAAAAGGAATTAAAGACAAGAAAATCCATTGTAGAGATAATTTCCAAATAAATTCCTTCCCTTTCACAGCAAAAAAGCATAAAAGCGAACGATGTGTGATGTTAAAAGCTAAAAACTTAAGTGCAGATTAACCTATAGCAACAAATGCTGCTAAAATGGTCAGAATATAACTAAGTACCATAAAGGGATATCAAGAATTCTAGATCTTACAACAATGCCAAAGGCCTATCACATTACTAAATTGCACCTCAGTAATTTAAATAACTAGATTACTCCCTCTGTCCCATAATATAGTGCCCGTTTCTCATCTTTCATGTGAATTAAGGATAGTAGAAGGAGAGTGTAATATTCTTACAAGTAGGAGTAATTTACATAGGAAAGATATAAAATGATATTTAATAAATCTTTGGATATGTGGGAATTTTATATGGGAAAGGAAAAAACTAAGTAAACGTGCCAACACAAACTAAGTAAAACATTTCCCAAAGAACAATTCCAATACAGCCCTTAAATTTAGAAAATTCGACAGTATAAAACCGGAACCAAAGCAGGCTGACTGTAGCAACAACTCAGAAGTTATAAAATAAAAAATTTCAAACAAATCTTTACCTCCATTAACTCCTTAGTCCTTGAGGTGGCCTCTGACTTAGCCTTCATCATCTCTTCCTGGTAGCATTAAGATAAAACAAAAGTAAAATCAACAAAATGCTAAGGTAAATCATCTATCTAAAAATAATTAATAAAAAGTGGCATGCATGAAGCATTTAAAAAAATACCTCTGCCACTTGAAGAGCACGCTCAGTTTTACGGATTCTGCTCTTCTGTTCATCATTGATCTTCTGGAGCTGTACAATCAGACATAAAGCAAAAGTTGAGAATACAATTACCTATTCCAAGAGGAACAGTATATTCAAGCAACCCATCACTTAAACTCAAAACGCAGTGAATTTTCCAAAGTTTGTCATTAAAATTCACACCCATTAAAATGCCAAAAATGCATCCATCAAACAAGAGCAAACAACATAGTTACATTACTAAAAGGACTCTTAAATCCCTTTAGATGCACTGTATTTTTTAACCCAATTACTACTTGTTTGCCGGGGTTGTCATATTCAGGATAAAGGGATTAAGAATATGAAAGAAAAGATTTCATGCACAAGTTCTATCCTCAAAACACTTCTAGATTACCTGAACATAAAATTAGAAACTAAAAACAGAGATATAGGGTAAGTTGAGACCAACAGTCCTGCAAACAACTAGACGTGTAAGTTGCAATATTCTATATAATTCCCCGGACCCTAAAGCATCCTCTAAAAATTACAAATTACAAGCACTAAACCTTTGCCACAAACAATCAGGAGTTCTATCTATAGTGCTCAATAAAATCATGCGAATGCAGCTGTCAAGTTCAAAACCCAACTCAGGCATTACAGTCTATGACAATAGATCAGATAGTCACATCAATAAAGCTGTATAATATCTCATCACAGCATCAAGAATACCCTAAAGCACCTTGATCTTAGATAACCATCAAGAAAACCATAGTACTATACAATCTGACCACACTCAACACAGGTTAACTATGCAAGTAATGATAGAAAAAATATTATAAACTGAATAAGAATCTGTTGGACTTATAAAGGATGGCAAAAATTAGCATGTACTTTGGTTGGATGAATGGCCATTACAATAACTAATTTACCTTGTCCAATTTTGAACTCAATTTGGAAATTTTGTTCTCTGATTCAATCGCTTGGGTTTCCAAGGCCTCCTTTTCCTTTTTTTGTCCTTCAATTTCTTTCTTCAACTTGTCAACCTATGAAACATAGGAATGCAAATTAATTAATTAATTATTTATTTATGATTTTAATTCTGACCAAAAGGTTTATAGCATTTCCCTTGAAGTACCTGCTTTTGCAACTCACTAGCCCGAGCATGAGCCTTCCCAACCCGCTCCTCAGCATCAGATGTTCCCCTTTTCTGACCCAACAAAAACAAAAACAAAAAAAAAATATAAGGAATCAATAATATTTTCAAACTACTAAAAATTCCAAAAATCTCTTCAGCATTGTCTAAACCAAACGTTTATTTAGAGTATCATCTTTACATAAATTCAACAGAAATCCTCATTAGCACTTTCTCAGTATTCTCACCCTTTGTCCCCATGATCTGAAGCATACAAAAACATAACCATGCTCAAGAATAATAATAAAAAAAGCAACAAACACAATTCAAACCTGAGCATTCTCAATCTCGCTTTGCAACGATGCAACAACATCCGACTTCTCCTGAATAACAACCTCCAAGTCCGATATTTTCTCATCCTTTTTCTTCAAATTCGCATTGCTCTCATCAAGGCGAGTCTCTACAACAAGCAAATAGCGCCCGCTTACCAAATAATAAAAAGCACCTCAATGCATGACATCGCTTACAATGCATTGCTAAAAACTACCACGTCTTGACGCAATCAATGGATTTTGATGGCTACCAATCATCCATCACATTATCACCAACAGTTTCATCAAGGAATAGTAATAATAATTGTAAACTTTAACTACTAGTTTGTGAAACTTCAAGATCGCATTTTGATTATTATTTCACAATATCCAAACACAGATTATCTTCTAATTCAAAATTCTAAGCTAATTTACAATCTGTAACCCTAATTTCTCTTCCGACTCAAAATTTAACAATAAGCTTCACCACAAACAAAATTCATAAATTCAATCAACATTCACTTCAATAACAAAACAAAACCTTATCAAATCAAATCAATCACAACTAACATTGAAATGTTACTCAAAATTAAAATTTAAACAAAAATCATATTTCAAAGTAATAAAAACACATATAGAACAGTCGCTACAATCAAAATCAATAAATAAAAAAAAAAAATCAATGAAAACAAACTAAAAATTCAAAAACTAACCAAGAAGTTGGATCTTAGACTTAAGCTGATCGAATTCAAGCTTAAAAGCGGAAGAATCATCCGATCGAACTTCTTCGATAACTTCCGAATTTCCAGAATCTGCAATTACGCCGCTAAAAAACAACGAAAACAGCAACAAAACCGACAAGAAAACGAGCTTTGATTCCGCCATTGAAGAGATTTCAGAAGAAAAATGATGAGAGAGAAAGCAGTGAGGGAAAGAGAGAAAAGAAGAGATTTCAAAGCATACAAAGAGAGCAGCTTCGAAACCCCCGAAGAAGAAGAAGAAGGAGAGACGTGGTAGAAAGACAAAAATTGAATTATAAAAGGAACAAAAAAAATAAATGTTGGTATTTTTTTATTATTCTATTCAATTCAATTTATTTTTTTTGTTATTTTTTATTTTATTATTTAAAAAAAGGGTGTGTGATGTAGAAAGTGCAAAGTGTGTGGGAGAGCATGTATTAATTATATTTGAATAATTTGATTGATTTATAATAAAGTTTTTGGTTGGGAAGAAAAATCAAAATCAAGATCAAAATCAAGACAATTGAGTGTATGTATGTATTTGTATAGGTGGTAGTTGGAAATAGAATCTTGGGAAAGGTTTGATAGTTGAATGGCTTAAATCTACTTTTATCTATTTTGGTTTTTTAAAAATTGTTCTTGAATAGAATTAATCAAAAGCCTACAAAAGTTGGTATGTTGGTGGTCTTTGTCATCATGTGTAATGACTTTTGGTAAAGCTTTGGTTTAAGGAGTCAAATCGCTTTCGATTATTCCTTGATTTGGTGTTTTGAGTTGATAAATAAACGATGAAAAAATCAACAATTTAAATGAATACCAACTAACCTGATTGGTAGTTTGTTTGAAGAGGGATAAGATTGTTAATATTTGAATTGATTTTCATTAATTTGTGTTCCTTTAATCTTCCATCTAATTTAGAAGGAAATTAGTTTGTGTTTATAAAGGAAATTCTACATGTTTATTCACAAATTGCAAGGTTAGACATTTTCACCTTTGGTCTTATGGGTATAATCATGGATTCATGGTAAAGGCCACCTTTTGAAAATAGTCAAAATAGTTGTTTTCCCAAAATTATCACAAGTAAAAATTAGGTAAAATTTGTGATTCTTACACTCCCAAAATAAATGTGAGAGTGCTTGGAAAAATTATAACAAATCATGTGAAGCATTAGTTACCAACTTGTCAGCTAAAACAAGTAATAGTTGATTCCAAGGCCATTGATGTTTTTTATTGACCATTTCACTTTGATATATGCTTGTGTTAAGTGTTTAGGACATAAGCTAGGAGTAGGTAACAGTGTTAATACAGAGCACCGATAAAAACGAACGAATTCGATCTTTTATATGCACATTGTTTAATTCCGTATCTCTAAATAAAAGTCAAAAGTACAAGTAAAAAAATATTATATATACTCAAGTACAAATGTACAATTTCCTCAAAAAAAAAAAAAGTACAAATGTACAATACAAGTACTATTTTATTTGTCTCACATAACCAAATGTGGATTTTCTTTAACATAAAGTAGTTCGTATTATTTTTGGCCAATTAACCGTAAAAAAAAAAAAAAAAAGAAAAAAAGAAAAAAAAATCACGACAATTTGGTAAAAAAAATCACTCCGGCTACAATTTGTTAAAAAAAAAGTTAACATTATGTGATAATTTGGTAAAAAAAAAATAAACTCAGGCGACATTTAGACCAAAAAAATCTGTTTTTTCCGGCAAACTCTTCAAAAGTCCTAATTAAATTGTTTTGTGTTTTTAAAATTTATTTTTTTCATTTAAAAATTAAATTATTATGTTATCTCCTTTTTATTTTGCTAAATTGTGAATTACATAAATTTATTTCCAATCCTTATTAAAAAAAAATTGTCACAAGTAGTTTGTTGGGAATTTTATATTTTTAGGCTTGATTGTCGCATGAAATTATTTTTTATTACCAAATTGTCGCTTGAGATTAGGATTTTTTTACCAATTTGTCGTCGGAGTAAATTTTTGGAGTGACGAATGCGGTTCCTCTCCCTGGATGACAAGTTCAAGAAATTGGGAGGACCTGTCTAGTCCAGTGGGTAGAGACTCTCATATGAAAAAGAAAACACCCTTTTTTACCAATTTGTCGCTGAGGTTAGTAAGAATGTTCAAAGCTATACGGTAATCAAACCGTTCATTTTTCCAACGGAAGTAAGAATGTTCAAAACTATATGGTTAATCAAACCGTTGCAATAAAGAAAACAGAGGAAGTTCTAAAATACCAAGGAAGATCACCCGAATTAGAGGGTAGGTTTCAAGCTAAACCCGACAACCACTATTAAAGAGCACATGCCAAGTGTAGTGCTCATTCATACACGCTCTTTTGGTAATGGATGAAACAACTAATAGCCTATCGGCTAACCCAATTTATATTTGCGCATAAGCTTATTTCAGCAAATAATTTGCGTTCAAAGACCATCAGATCCATATACCAAGTTTGAAATCTAAATCCAGATGTTTACTTGTCGATTTATACGACTATCATCGCATATGATCCATTCAGATTCGAAATATGGAGAGGTTGTTCTAGTCTACAATAGCACCCACAGAAATAACCATACTAAGTAAACAAATAGACTAGTCGGTCTAGAAACAATGTAAAAGCAGCTCAGCAAGTATATAATTCTGTCATAGAACACTAAGATGATAGGTGTCAAAAATACTCGAGTGATTCTTTGAAGATGGCTATACCGAGTCTCACCATTCATGATAACTAAATAAATTGAAACACAATAATAACACATCTAAAAGAGTGAAGTTCCCTTTCCCTTCTTGTCTCCACCAATCTCAAAGTGCTTGCAACGCTGCATAAACAATACCGTGGATGCATATAGTCAGCAAAAACAGAAACAAATAACTACAGGACACAAGAATAGGACCATTGATTTAGTATATTGAAACACAAACCTTAATGGGGTGCTGGGAGACATGCTTGCATGACTGGCACTGTAGCCTCAACACAATCTTCTTGGTAGTCTTGGCCTGTTGAGTAACAATACACGAGCTATGTCAATATACAAAGCTGAAGGTAAACATTCAAGTTTTACATTAACCAAACAAAGTCGTTACCTTCTTGTGGAAGACGGGCTTGGTCTGACCACCATATCCAGATTGTTTACGGTCATAACGTCTCTTTCCTTGGGCAGCCAAACTATCCTTACCCTTCTTGTACTGGGTCACCTTGTGCTGGGTATGCTTCCTGCACTCCTTGTTCTTGCAGTAAGTCTTCTTCACCTTAGGTACATTCACCTGTGTCATCAGAAGCAATACGAATCAGAAGAAGTTCTCACAGATTACTCAAGTACCAAAATCAGATACCAATTGAATGAGTGATTAGTATAGAAATACAAATCAATATCAAACATCAGAACAAGAAACATCACAGCCCTCACTCCACAAATCCAAGATGTAAAAAGAGAGTTGGTCAGAGAGTTGGTCAGAACAAGAAATATCACAGCCCTCACTCCATGAACCCACAATGAAAAAGAGAGTCGGTCGAACAAATATTTCACATGTTCCTTATGACAATTCATGTTAGCCGACCCCAAATCATTTTAGATCGAAGGCTTTGTTGTTGTTGTTGATCAGAACAAGAATTTCAGCGGTCTTTGAGAGCTGCTTTCTATTATTCAATTCTATGTGATGCTATTAAAGGACTTCTCAAAGGCGTAAGGAGTAGTATTAGATTGCCATTGTGATTCCTACTAGCTACAGGCCATACAGCTTTTGTAACTACTACAAGTAAAACTCAAGGAGGTTTGCACCGAGAAACACAAATTAACCAGCAAATACATTCACAATACGCAATTCAAATCTTGTTGGAGAGACTAACGGCCTATGAAAGGGTTATGTGCAGTAAAACCTAACGTTGATCGGTTCTTTAACCAGTGTTAGCCGATGTGTTCAAATGTAGCTTCAGTAAAATCAAGAAACAATCTCACGTTATGTATACACCACACCTCAATATTGTTCACAATAGGAAGATTGTCTCTTCTATCGCGTTACATATACCTCGTAACATGTATTTATTATAAACAATGTGCATCAGCTAAGTAATTAAAATCTGAACACAACATTTAACATCATAACAGTTGCAGCAGAAACATTCATCACAGAAATAACCTTAAATCAGAATCAGAACAATAATAAACCATTACAATGTCGGGCAATTAACATAAAAATGAGTCTAATCGATACATTTTGTTTGAAACATAAAAAGAAAATTACGAGTTCTTCAGATAGCACGAATTATTAATAGTATAGCTCGGATTTACAGAAATTCAAACTTTATATTGAAACAAAAATCGCACAAGTCGAATCAAAAATTAGTATAGTTTTACAAATTCCAGCTTCAAATCTCTGTATATCCAAAGATTATTTAACACTATAACCTTATATTTAAACAAAAAAATCGCACAAATCGAAGCAAAAATTAGTTTCATTACACAAAATCTAACTACAAATATTCATATATCAAAATTTTAATAAAATTTCATCGCTAAAATTGATGATAATTCAGCCGAAAAAGTGAAAATAATTCACTAAAACAACCAACAAAATGTCGGAAAAAAAGAAGCAAAATTCTAATTTTGAAGATTAAGAAACTAAGTAAAATTCACTGAATCTAATTAAAAAAAAAAAATGCGAATCGTAAGATTAATAGCAAGAGTAAAGAGACAGTGAGTACCATTGTTGCAGGCGGCAGGAAGACCTGGTGTTTATAAACCCTAAAAAATGAAGAAGACGGCTCAAAATGTTAATTTCGGTGGTGTTTTGTATATATATGAGCCTAGTTCAGGGTTTCTGTGATTGGGGGAGGAATTGGGCCGAGTTATATGGATCTGGGCATTTGAGATTAGGATGGGCTCTGCTATTATTTTGATTTAAAAACTGGATTAATGTCCCAATGGCCAAATAATGGCCAATACCAGTAGAGTTGGATCCGGGTTCGGCTTCAGTGAGTGTGGTTTGTACTCCTTCTGTTTCAAAATAAAATTATCGGGATATTTGTCAATATGATAGTTTGACCAATGTTATATCTTTAATTATCAATATGTATACATTGTAAAAAGTATCAAGTGTATATAATATGAAAACTATACATTGAGATAGTTCTGATAAATACCAACATGACTACATTTAATCTTATAAGTAAAGCAAAAATGAAGGTTAAAGTGATATATGTGAATACTATAAAGTCAAATTGAGACATTTATTTTGAAATTGAAATAGTATTTTATGTCCAAAT